GCTAAACGAAGCCCTTCAGGGGGTTACGGAGTGACAAGTGGACACCGGTTAATTTTGTAGCATCAGGAGCTACAGCAGCAGCAGAAGCCCCGGCTGTGTGTTTGGAGCAGCACCTGCTGAACACAAGAGGAACTGCACTGGAGATGCTTTAATGTCGTTTGTCTCTTGGATGAGGGGAATGAGGGGTTATTGGGCTCAGGTGACAGATCGTATTCTCTTTTATTAGACTGAGGCTTGTTGGTGTCCTCGGTGAAGAGATACGAGGATGGCTGCCTTTCCTCAGCTTTGATGAAGGGGAAATGATCAGTTAGAAAATCAGCCTTAAGTCCACTGAGAGCAAATCATGAAGACAGATGCTCATCTGTCCCCTGTGTGTATGCTGCTTGAATAATGTGTGTTAGTGTTTAATTTTGAAAAGTCTAAACTCTATAAAACAGCATTGCTGATCTCTCCCTGAGTGCATGCTTTTAACTACGTGCACAAAGCTTTCTTCTGCGTACAATTATATGATTTATTTGATATGTTCGATACAGTAGAAGTCATTTTAATCTTTTTTTAGTCACTAATGTGAGATGGAGAAATATATCTGTTAATTAACTATTTAATAGGGCTGTGATAGACTGGCGACCTGTTTAGTGTGTACCCAGTCTCTTGCCTTAGTACAGCGAGGATAGGGTCCAGTCAACTTGAGACCCTGAACAGGACAATGAACTGAGAAAATGAATGGAATATATTGTAAATATCTAGACCACTGGTGTCACACATACTGTGACCTTGGCCTTGATTTGGAAAGTGTGATATTTGCAGTGAAGTCATGAATTACTCATTAAAAAGCATTTCTAGGCATTTCTATGCATGAAATAAAATATGTGGAAAGTTATCTGTATTTTAAGTCTGTATTTTAAATCATTTAACAGGAAATAAAACCCTCTGCTCTCTGTTTTTTAAAGGAGGGGCTGACAGGTATCACTTTGGTTAGTCTTGGATTGTCAGCTTTTTCTTTCTTGTTTCCTTTGTTAGGTTTAAATCTTGGCTGTTTGGCAGGTGAACATTGTCAGGATGTACTTTTTTTACACTTGAAGTAACTTGTAATATTTTTTAACCTGTTATTCAAGATTTTTACTGCTCTGACTGAGTTTAAATCATATACAGGCATGATTCAGACAATCCATCTAACTGAAAAAAGAGTCTTATATGTGCTCATGCATGCAGATATTCACTTTAGTGCCTCACTCCAGATAGTGTGTCTTAGTTTGAAGGCTTAGTACACTTTTGTGTAGTAATACTGTATATACCGATTGTGTGGTACTGTAGTTACACTTTGACAGCACAGTAAGTGACTCAAATCAAGCTGTGCTCTTTAAACCTGACATTCTTCTTACGCTTTGGGAATGGACTGGCTTTTATATAAGCCAGTTTTCTAATTGGACTACACTTACTATACACTTTAAGCACTTTATCTACCTCCCATCTACAGCCAGTTTGAAATCAGTTGATCTAACATGCATGAAACCCATACAGGCACAGGTAGAACATGCCGACTCATCACACAGAGGCACCAGCTTTCAAACCAGAAGTCTTCTTGCTACTTGGTGACTTATCTCCGTGTTATACGTTTAATTCTTATTCGTTTTCAGTGTTACTTTAATATTTTATATTTCTGTATTCTTTTTATTGTAGTCTCTGGATTTTGTTTTGTCTCTAAGTTGGGATAGCTATCATTAAGGAGCAGACTGTAGTAAGCCCAGAGTGCCTAAATTGCCGGTGTAAAATGTGGGCTGGCAGATGCAACAACAACTTGATTGTCTTAAAACCATACTTGACTTGTCCTGTGTACTGAATGGAGATCTTTTTCTTTAACTAAGATTTTTGAAACCCATGTTTAAGATGTCAACACTTATTTTAGAAGGAATTCAAAGCACTGGCTAACCATATATTTAGTCTTACCCACGTCGAACTCTTAGTTTGTTTTTATTTTCTGTCAGCATAGACACTGAGTCAAGATGACAGATGAGGGAGCAGCCTGCCCTTTAACATCAGTCTGCACCTCAGCTTTGAGTGGACTTGGCATTTTGTTGAGGCTGAGATGTTAAGAAGACACCAGACACTCACAAGCACATTTTGCATATCTAGCAAAAACACAGTAACTGTTATAAGAAATGGCCCAAGAAATTTAAAATGTGGGGGAAAGTAGCCCTGATATCTGGTTTGCTGCTGACATGACACATGCGTAACAGAAAAGTCACAATGATCTCACACATATAACTGCACCATTAAGTTACAGTGAAGGTTTACCTCAAAGCAAACTTAAAATAGTTCGAGTAAAGGTCAAAATTTGAAACAGCTAAAATATCCACAAACCACCAAAACAATCTCTTTTCATATACAATTAAAACGCTTATATTCTCTGGTGTGGTTATACTGTACTGTACGGTTTCAACAGAGTTCAACACACTGAACAGGAATATGTCATGAGTCATGAGTCACTCTTGTATGCTTTTCATACAAGTTTCACACGAGACAGATACAAACTTCATAAGATTTATATATATCTTTTCCATATGGGTAGCAGCGGTCCCCAACCCCGGGGCCGGTCCGTGAGTCGTTTGGTACCAGGCCACGAGAGTAGAGCCTCGGGTGTGAAATTTATAGTTTTTTCCCGTGTTGCAGTTGTGTCTTATTTTGAAAGAAATAATTGCGTGTTACTATAGCGACCAGAGATTAATTAAGGGGCAGAGAGGAGGATGTTACTCTCAATGTTGTTGGCAGATTTCAGGAGGACGCTGCTAATAAAGTTACACAATTACACAGCGAATTTGCGTTTATTATTATATAATAAATACCACAGTTTTTGTCTTGGGCGTATCATTTTATTGTGTTGTATTTATCTGCAACACCTTAAAGGCCGGTCCATGAAAATATTGTCTTACATTAAACTGCTCCGTGGTGCTTAAAAGTTTGGGGACCGCTGAACTATAGTGATGCCGTGAGAATAAAGGCATGTTAATTGTACGTGAAGAGTGAGGGCCTTGGAGCTGTTTTATGTTTTACCTGATATAAAATGCACCACCAATCCAAGTGCTCCTTTTAAAACAGTTTAAAAATGACATTTGTTAGAAAGCTGTAGGGAGCACTGCGTCAACACACTGGTCGCTCAAAATGATTTAGAACTTTTTGGAAGTGGAAAGACTGTCGGAGAGGCAATGAGTGAGGATTGCTTTGATGCACCTGAAGTCATCATATATGTCATCATATATCTTCAAATGTAGATGTGCCTGCACATGATGGCACTCTGGAGCAGTTCAAGTCATTTCCATCAAACGTTCTCCCCTGAGGAAACTGAGGACTTCACAGTAGGACCCTGTGCTGAAAACATGGTCCTTGTTGGAAACTGTGATGTGGGCCAGTTCCACTTTTCAAAAAATGTAATAAATGGGCTGTCCCAAGAAAATGAAAAAGTAAAGCAGAAGAGTTTCCATGTGAAAATTATACCAGGAAATTACATTGACAGGAGTGCAAGAACACTGGGTATTAGAATACAGTCAGTTTATACATCTGTGTTCACAACCCTGCAATAAAGTCTTTAAAGATCCTGCACAGAAAAAAAGTCAAAACAGCAGAGCTGATGAAACATCCACTGAAAACTATAACAAGTTAAAATAAGCCAGGGTTATCTTTAAAATCCTTAAAGCACACAATTTAATGCAATGTGGTTACTTTGTGTTACTTCTCCTAATCATGTGACCTTTTGTAGCCTGCAAAATAACAGAGCCTATCACAGAAAAGATGCTGCATCTTACCACACTTGCTTACTTTTGAGGATCTCCTAAATTTGCTTATCTGTTTCAGGTTCAGTTTAATTCACATAATTAATCAATTAATGGTCTTGAGCATGCATGTCTGATGATGGTGGTGGGGTGGTAATGAGCTGATCAGCTTTAAAGTTACCTTACAATCCTTTAAAGTTCCTACACACACACACACACACACACTGCACAGAGAAGATGAGACACATCACACTGCAGCGAAACGCAGTTAATGATAGCAATCTGATTACACCTTCAGAGACACTGCAGACCTTTGGATTTCACTCTGTGCTAATAGAGCTAAGGTAATGGGTGGGCAAGGGAATGAATGGCTGTCTAAGTGAATGGATGTGTAATTAAAGAATGGGCGATACAGTCGATGTAATTAGCTTGTTTATGTGTGGTACAATGGATATGGGCAGGCGTGAGGATCTGGGCCTGGAATGGCAGACGGAGAGAGGGACACGAGATAGGAGACGGCGAGGAGGGGCGAGAGTGGGAAGGAGAGAAAGAGAGGGAGCAAACTCCTTATTCAGGCCTTTTCTGCTCACCCGTCACATCAAGGCTCGAAATCAATCCTGCAAATTGGTTTGTTCCTGGACAAGGTTACCAAATGACGGAGGGATGGAGAGAATGAAGTGGAGGAGACATGGAATATGAGATAGAGAAGGAATATGTGAGAGCTGTAACCAGAGATTGTGGGGAGGACGATGAAGGGGAGGAGGGTGGGGATGTCCCGCTGTTGACGTATTGCCTAATGCGGGGGCTCTGTGTGTGTATGTGTGTGTCTGTGTGTGTGTGTGAGCTGAAGGCCAACAGCGAGGTCATTAAACTATGAAGGAGGTGAAGGATCCAGTTGATTGTTGTTTGTTACAGGTAAACCGTAGAGACTGAGTTATGACCTGCTGGCTCACAAAACACTTTGTCCGTGTGGCAAAGAGGCATGTACATGTTGGGACTGAGTTTGTCTGTGTGTGTTTGTGTGTCTGTGTGCATGCCACAGATGTTCCTGTAAACCTGTCACAATGAAATGTGGAACCCATTTCCTCCCATTCCCAGCTGAGCCAGTGGAACCGGAGAGTAAATATATAAATAATAGAACAGATAAAAAATGATGCAATCTCCAAATGTGTTATTCTTCTCCATTGACCTGACGTGTCTTTTTGTGTGCGTGTGTGTGTGTGTTGCTTACAGGAACACTTTACACCTGAGTGTAAGTTTAAGGAGTGTGTGTTTGAGAACTACTACGTCACCTACTCGTCCATCCTGTACAGACAGACCCAGTCAGGGCGGGCTTGGTACATCGGCATCAACCGGGACGGCCAAGTCATGAAGGGGAACCGCGTCAAGAAGACGAAGGGAGCTGCTCACTTCCTGCCCAAGCTTATTGAAGGTAAGCTTGTACGGTATGTACATGTAAAGCATGTTGCTCTCTATCATAAAACAATAACAATTTCAATTTCAACAAGGGGGCAAAGAAAAAGAAAGAAAACCAAGGATAACACAAAAAATAGCAACTGTAACAAAGGAAGCAAGAAATTTCATCAGTCCAGAAAACTTTTTACTTTCCTTAACCTTCATGCAGGATATGAAAATAATAAAGATACAGGATAAGTTATAGAGATTAAAAGTTACATTAAAATGATCAACGTGATCACTTCACGTTGATCATTTTTCAAACCCCCATGAATAAAGTAACACTCATAATCTACTCATGACCTCAATCCGTTGTTGAAAAGTTTGAACACATCAGCATGTCAGGAAATTACTATATCATCATAATCTGAGTCACAAATGTGAATCATGTCTTTTCTGTAAATGAGTTTTAGTGCAGAACATTAGATGCATGTATTGAGATCATATCATCAATTATTAGAGAACATACCGCTGAAACTTGTTATCATCCCTTTCTTCTCTTTTATGCTTTATGAGTAGAATTTATAACAGCAACAATAAAAACCTACAACGTTTTTCAAAAGCCATTTAATAGTGCATGATATTTCCTCGTTGCCCGGCACAGAACAGGTGCTGCACCTGCAGATAGTGAGCATGGATCAGTGCACACTCAGCGATGGTGGGGTTTATAACCCATGCCCACTAAGGCTTTATTTGATGATTTTCAGTGTTTATTTACTCCTGATTTTCTAACTGTTGTGTGTAGTCTATATTTTGTATAACCTGTACAGCACTGTGGTCAGCTGAGATTGTTTTGTGCTATGCTGTAGAAATAAACTTCGACTTGATTTGACCTAAGACAGTGCAACCTACCAGGAAAAACACCAGCAGAAGTGGCAAAAATGAATAATAGAGGATCTATTGCTGCTTTTCTATTATGTTATAATGTCCACTCCCTAAGCCGGGATCTGGTTTCTTCCTGTTAGAAGGGAGGTTTTCCTTCCCACTGTCGCCAAATGTTTGATCTTAAGCTAAATTTAGACTTCTGCAGGAAACCTACGTCCTAGCTGGTAACCAGAAACTGCTTTAATCCCTACACCACAACCTTCCATGCCTTTAGACTTGTTGTGGTATACGTCATCCCAGCGTGTACATTTCTCAGAAGAAGCACTCAAGGTTACGTAGAAGGTTGCAGCGTAGGGTTAAAATAGGGTTCTGGTTATGGCGTCAGTTACTCTATGCCGCATTAGTATTAGTATAATTCACGTGTTATGGGGTCATCTGATTGTGTGTTTATTCTCTGTATTATTGTAGGGTCTTATCGTAGGGTCTTTACTTCACACTATAAAGGACTTTGAGGCGACTCTTACGCGACTCGATTTTCTTATTGTGATTGTATAAATAAAATTAAATTGAATTAAAAGTAATCCATATTAGCCAGTATACTGTATATATTCAATTCAATTTTATTTCTATAGCCCCAAATCACAACAACAGTCACCTCAAGGCGCTTTATATTGTACACTGTAAAAAAAACATGTAATATAAAGGTATTTTACTGTGTATTTTACAGTTTTGTACTGTTCTTCTAGATTATCATTAAATTTACATAAATAAACTGTGATTTTACATTTCAAATGTAAATTAACGTAAAATTACTGTAAATGTCATAAAACATAATTTTCTTGTTTTTTAAACGTATTTGTCTGTACATATATGCATATTTAGATTGTTAAAATACATTCACAAATGTATCATAATTTCACAAATATGTGTCCGTTATTTGAAAGATTGAACTGTTAAATTCAAATGTAATGCTATGGAAAAATATATAAAATAATTCCTATAAACTTTTTTTACATCAAATAATTATTATTATTATTGCGATTTAGGGCGATCGTAGCTCAAGAGTTGGCAATTGACACTCTCGGTCGTTGTGTCCTTTGGCAAGACACTTTACCTACCGCCTACTGGTGATGGCCAGAGGGGAATTGTAAAGCGCTATATCAATGCAATCCATTATTATTTAAACCAACTGTTAACTGTATATTTCTGTACATTTAAGTATTATTATTCATATTGCCGCATTCATTGACCTTGTTTATAGGTAATTTCATTGTTTAATCACGTTAAAATGTTCCTAATTTAATGTTTAAAAGCACTTGAAAAAGGCAAAAGCCCATGTAAAATTAGGGCAACAAACTGTATTGTCATTATTGAAAATAACCGTATTTTTATGGGAAAGTTATTTTCTGGTATTTTCTGGTATTATTTTGGCGCCCCAGCTGCCGGAATATTACTGTTTTTTTAGGATTTTTTTTTTTACGTTGTAAGGTAGACCCTACAATAATACATACAGAGAAAAACCCAACAATCACATAACCCACTATGAGCAGGCACTTGACAGTGGGAAGGAAAAAGTCCCTTTTAACAGGAAGAAACCTCCAGCTGAACCAGGCTCAGGGAGGGGCGGGGCCATCTGCCATTACCAGTTGGGGTGAGAGAAGGAAGACAAGATAAAAGACATGCTGTGGAAGAGAGCCAGAGACTGATATAATATACTGTATGCATTTATGTGTTCAATCTTTCTAATTTCTCTTTCTCCCTCCCCAAAATAAACTTGCCTTGCCCAGTGGCTATGTACAGGGAGCCCTCTCTACATGACGTTGGTGAACAGAGTCCGCCCAGAAAAACGCCCAAGACCTCCAGTGATTCGCCTGTGCTCCAGAACGGCAAGAAAGATCCTCAATCCAAAACCAAAACCTCCTCCTCCTAGCGCTCAGAGACACAGGAGAGAGGAGTGGTAGACAACATGTGGACAATGGGCACCAGCGGACACCTGAACAAGTTTGTTAGGGCTACCCTCCCCCCCACATGCTGCCTGTAATACTGATCCCATAATGCACTGGTGACAAACTGGGTAAAAAGCAGAAGCAAGTCCAGGCAGAGTGGAGTTGGCCAGTGGGAGGCCCCTTTTACCTTTACAGAAGCCCATTCACACCAGCCCACCATGTTCTTATTTAATGACCTTTATGATTAGCAGAGCCTGGGATCTAAAAGCAATAACTCCGCAAAGAGGTGAAAAGTGGCCTAACATTGTACAGCATGTCACCACAGCGTGTTCAACCAGCTGGAAGGGAAAACCCCCCACACCCCCTAGACATCATCATTGAGATCCTTCCAGTCAACCAAATATCCAAACAAAGTCTTCCTGGGTTTAACACAAAGAGTGCACTGGGTAAATCTGTCCCTCTGCTGCACATGCTCCACAATTGGGTTATGTCTTTATTCCCCTATGGGGTTTAATGCTAAGGTTAGCTTGACAAAGAGTCATGCTAATGTGAGGCTGTCACAAAGACCCTTTGGTTCTAAAGCCATCTGCTCACTCCACATCTTCAGCGTGTGCGTCAGCAACTTTGTGAGATAGCCTGAATATGTGTCAGTCCTATATGCGTGTGTGTGTGTGTGTGCGTGTGTGTGTTCCCTTCTTCCATTCACCTTTGCTACGATTTTATTAGTTCGTGACATGGACTCAATTTTCCACTCTGCGGCACAAGAAAGCCCCTCCCTCCTCTGCGGCTCCGTTAATGGAGTCTGGGACTGATCAGAATCTTTCGACCCTTAAACGAGGGGTCAAAAGCTCCCCCGGCACATTGCGTAACCGCATAACCCACACTCATTTATACACTTACATCTACCCATGCATGTTTGTGGTTTGTGCAGCACGTGCACACACTTTAGAGCCCAGATGTCCGTGAGCATCGGCCGCTGAAAACCATCTCACACCTTAACACACTTAGCAAAGTGACACGCACGCTCGTGACTGCGCCCACTAACATGACACAGTGGTGAGTGTGTGTGCAGGTTCTGGGAGATGATGAGGATATCATCAGCGAAATGGGTTGGTAATGGAGCCTGGCTGTGCGGTTTGTGATTGTGCTGCAATAGCTGTTTTCACTGTGGCCGGCCATGCATTGCACAAACCCTCAAGGGCCACACACTATCTGTGCAAATCATCTTTTGTTTCACTGCACACACACAAATACACACACACATATATATAGAAATGCCAATTTTGTATTTTTTCATCATACTCTGCCATCATGTTCAGGGGGTCTGACTTGAGATTTTGACCTAATTTTGTGTGAAATAGTCAATATTCACACATACACTGATATTCCAGTGAAAGGCTAAAACTAAGAGAACAACCTTTCATTGGATATAAATCACAATCAGTAATCCTTTTAATTGGATTTAATGTCAATTGGCTGTCTTGAAACTAAAGATAAATGTGAAAATAATATATGACAGTTGGCTACGCAGCGCTGTGAGTAAAGTAGTCTGAAAGTGTCTGCATTTTCTGAGTTTTAAGCTGTTTCACTAATTTGTCATACACTAAGAGTTATCTTGCATCCGTATGAGAATTACACTTCCCCAAATTTTCGCGCTGCATAGCATTGTTCAAATAAACCGTGTTTATTCCTTAAAGATAAAGATAAAGTTAGAAGACATTATCGAAAGCAGCTCTGGTGGAAAAAGCTCAGTTCCCCCTGAGCAATGAGGTAGCAATACTCAAAAAATAAAAAAAATGCCCAAAATGCTGACTTTAAGTAATTTGATTTAATGTAAGTTTCCATCTATTATTTATTTTTTTTATCACGTAAGTACAATGTAAAAGGTTCACTTTAAAGGTCAAATGAAATTTAGTTGATTGATATACCTTCAGTTTATACCAAGGTGATCCTTATTTGAATAAAAACCTTTGATTTTAGAAAGATTTAAAAATTGTAATTTTTATTTTTAAACTTGTAGTTTTCAGGTATAAGTTTGGGAGTTTCAAAAGTTACATTTTCAGAGACTTTATTTGCATGTATTCCCAGATATCAGTTTGGGAAGCAGATTGTACTTTGAAAGAGTACAATTAAATGAACTATGCCACCAAATTGCATTATGGGAAATGTAGTAACTAATGATCTGTTTTGCTGGAACCAAAGTCAGGATTTCTTCAGCTTCTTCTGCACTGATTTTTCATATAAAGCTCCCATACTTCATACATAAATTAGTGTAGGGTACTCAGTTAAATTACTGTAACATTAACTAAAGAAACTAATGCCGGGGAATCATTTGTTAATGTAATTTTTAACATTTTTAGAAATGAACTCTGCAGTTTTTTGGGGGGTTTGGTTTTATAGAGAGAGTTTGATTTTGATGCAAAGAGGAATTCAAGCCTTCTTTACTTGTCACGTCCTTACAGTTATTATTTAGAGCTTATATATTGTGATCCCATGATATGACTGAGGCAAAAATAATTAAAGTTGTATGAGCATAGATGATGGTACAAGAATGATGGCTCTGAAAAAAGGAAGCTTAAGCGTCTCACATCTTTTTGCCAATGTTTATTTGTTAGCCTGTCCTGGTAAAGAAAATCACTAGCATATTTAATATTTCACTCCTTTCTTTCCGGAGACCTTGTTTGGTGCATTTCCATTTGTTGTTTCCATTGAACACAAAAAGCAATCATTTTTCATATCAAACTTGCTACAATATGCCAGGCAGGGTAATTGTTTCTGCCTTATGTTTATGTACTGTGGGAAGCGAGGGAGTCCTTTGTGTTCGGGAGGTAAAGGCGAGGCGAGATTGATGATCAGGGCAGAGGGAGAGAGAGAGAGAGAGAGAGAGAAACAAAAGAAATGAGCGAGAGAAGAAGAGAAAATTTTAGGGAGGATAATTATGATGATGAGCACAACAAAAAGAGATTTAAAAGGGAATTATGCTAATGTGGACACTCTTGCCTGAAGACACACATTTACTAGCGCTTCTCCTTATGCGCGTAATCCTCTGCCCCCATGCAACCTGTGGTTGTAAATAATAATAGCTGATAACCCAATCAGGATGGAGGCGAGGGTGCTGAGCAATGTAATCTTCTACCTGAGAATTGAAGCAAATTGTACCTCTGCTTTCCTGAAGGAAGAAAGGAAGGAAGGAAAGAGTAATCCAGTGAATACTTAAAGGAAAGGAATTGGTCTGAGAGAGAGGAAATAAATAAAAGAGGGGGTGAAGGATATAAAGGCAGGTGACTCAATACATATATGATTTAAAATAATATATATTTTTTAATTTATTGTACTTAAGCTACTGTTAAAACCTCACTTTCACACTGAAGACCTTAATTAAACTGTTAAATAGACATTCAGGTTGATGTGTTTGACCAGACACCCTCCCTGGATCACACGATCCAGAACACAGTGTTTGACTGTTATTTGCAGAGTAATTAGTGTTTAATTAAAAGAGGCTCCCTCCTCCCAGAACTGAAGCAAGTCTGTCTGAGACTGGATTCTCTTAGATGGAGAGAGGAGTAACTCAACAAACAGAGCTTTTGTAACATCTATATTATGTATTTTAAGGGCTGGGAAATCTGTGTTCCAATATTTTTTTATGTATGTCTCATGACTGTTGTTTTTGGGTTTTAAAAGGAGGTTAAGGGCTAAAGTTTTAGTTTAAATAATCTTTGTGGAAGAGTTTAAGGAGCACGGATTTCGCACAGATTATTTTTACCATATAGATAAACAAACGTTTGAAAGTGTGTTCAGACAGAGCACCACCAAAGGCATTGGTGTTACGATGATAAATGACAAACTTGGCTCGTGTGTGCAAACTTAAGCCGCTGTAGGAGTGCTTTAATCCTGCATTCTCTCTAATGGCCAGCAGGGGGCAACTTATCTGGTTGCACGAAAATGTCCGATTCTATAAAAGCCTTTGGGACAATGACCCAAAACCTCACTCCATGACGGTCTCGTTTACTAGTTTCAAGATTTAATCCCATGTAGAGAGAAAAAATGCTAAAGGTCAAATCAGTGGATAAGAAAAATTAAATAATCTTTTCTCAAGCATTTTACAAAACTAACTATAAAGCACTATTCTACAAACAAGTAAAAAGCATATACCAGTTAAGGGCAAGCCAGTGCATCTCTTTATGTTTATGTGAGAGCTCAGCCATTAGCTCATCTTGCCAGGAACTATGCGGTCCCCCCCTTTTCCTCTATTCTAGAATACTGTTGATATTGCTACATTCATAAAGGTAATTATAAAAGTGGCTTTTTTTTAAGCCCACAGCTGTTTTCATTTGCTAAACCAGTCATCATCTCATCAAAAAGGTGCCCCGTGTCCTGTCTGAACACACCTCTGAGGGTAAAGTGACTGTGATGAAGTCTTGATCCACATTTTTAGGTTTGTGGTCTTTTGACAGAAAACCTTCGATACAAAGCTAAAAAGAACGTAAGAAGCAATGAAAGTGCAGAGGTGTCAATATAGGAAATGTGGGGTCCTGCTAGTTTGGATCTTGTCTCGTGAGAGTGAGAATATCTTTTTTAGTCCATTTGTAATCCTTTCCTGACTCTTAAATACAGAAAATCACTGGAGGGGCCCTTTAACTTTCAAAATAAAAGCTGCATGAGAGAAAATGAGGAAAAAAAATTCAATTTTTATGGAGTAAGTGTAGGGCTGTGAACATTTAGTGTCATGCCTCATGTCATGTCATACAGTGACTTTAAAGCCAAGCTTTTGTTAAACCAGTCCATCTTTGTCACTTCACTGACCCCACGTCAGTCAACACTGACATCTAGTGAATGATGGATTCAAAGCTAACTAAACTTCGGTGTGATTTGCATGTGTGTGTGTGTGTCGATTCAGCAATTAAATGCAATCCATCAGCCACTTAAAGCTGCATCAGTCATCTGAGTGTCCCACTGTAAAATATGTAGACACGTTTGATTTTTATCCGACTGTTATTTAAATACTAGGTGCAGCCTGATTACTGATGTTAGTGCCCATATTTTTTAAGTAACAACTCAGATTTCCAGTTAATAATATCATCGTCATTATTGTGATTTTTTAAGCTCAACTGAGAAGTAATCAGATTAATCCTGGAAGGTTTTATCTGTTATTTTTAGTCTATTTCAAGCTATGGTGGTGATCTTAAAGAGGATGTTGCTTTGTTTGCAGTCTTATTGATTTTACTTTTGCGGTGGCAGAAAAGTAGAATTACTAAATCATTTATAGCGGGTGGAAGGTTTGTGTGGCCACACGTGTTTGCACTGGTTTGTGTGTGTGTGTGTGTTTTATGCTGTGTTGGTACACTCCTTCTTTTCCCTCCGTCTGTGTCCTGCGAGTCTTTTGTGAAGCCTGAAATCAGCCCGTCCGCTCTCAGCCTTCAGGCTTCACTTCAAACGACTCTGCGTAAATTACAGGATGTAAAGTTTGCCATTTCTCTCGGCGGCCGTCTCTCTGAGCACATGTTTGATTAGTGGACACCCCACTCCCCTCCCGTGGCTGAATTTACTGCTTTTAACTGGCTGATGAATGTCTCCGGATTCAGCTCTAAGCGTTAAATATTGGCCCTTTGGTGAGCTCGGCGTCACTGCTTCTTTATATATGAAAGGGATGGGAAAGGTGTGCCAGCTTGCACCTAGATATCGAAGGGAGCTAAATGATGTCTATCTGATGCAGCTGCACCCTTCACACACACACACACACACACACACACACACACACACACACACACACCTCTCTCCCCAGGGACTCCCTTCCCTCCCATTTCTCCCGAGTCAGGGCCCTCCCTGCTTACTGAGCGAATTACAACTGCAGTGAGAGTGAGAGGGTCATCTGGGGTTGTGAAGGACTCAGAGAGAAAGAGAGAGGCATGTGTCACATACTGTAGAGTGGCTACCTCGCGCCTCAAAGCCTCTCTTTGAAGTTCCATTTCCTCTCGGCGAGCCTTTTTTTGCATACAGCTAATATGACTTCCCTTTGACCTGGAGGCAGCGCGTTTGTGTGTGTGTGTGTGTGCAGATATCCCACCTGCCAATTCTGGTAATCGTATGTAATGTTTGTGTAGCTGTTACTGAATATTTCTGTGTGTCCTTTATGTGTATCCAAGCAGAGAGAGAATAAAGTACAGAGAGCGAGAGAGAATAAATCAAGAGGCCAAATCAATAAGCATGAGTCCTTGGGCAGAAAGCAATAAACTCTTATTAACAAGGTGCAGCCACATTATCTGGGAGGGTGTGGAAAAAAGCGGAGAAATATTGATATAGAGAAAACAACTGCGTGTTTTATTAGAGCTTTTATTTTTCTAACACTTTGCCCTCTTTTGTGTGTGTGTGTGTGTGTGTGTGTGTGTGTGTGTGTGTGTGTGTGTGTGTGTGTGTGTGTGTGTGTGTGAGCTAGCAGAGCTGTTTAAGCGTGCGTGCGTGCGTGCATTACTTCGAGGTGGAGTCCCCTCACCACATCTGCAATGCAGCAGAAAACACAAAAAAAAGAGAAAGGGAGGAAGAGAGAGACTCACGTGCTCTGACAAAAGAGTGACGCCTTCCTCGGGTGTTTTTTTTTTATGAAAAAAAAAAAGCTTTTAAATTTGAGAGCTGGAGTATTCAATGTCACACCCTGAGAAGCATTAATGAAACTTCAGCTATAAAAGTTTTGCATTTTTGTTGTTGCTTTTTTTTCTTTTTTTTTAAAGGCACACCCCACGATCTCTGAACACATCTGCATTGCACACACACACACACACACACACACGCACACACACACAACCCCCTGCATAGCCAGCGCAGATGTTGCTAAATCGGGTGACCTTTACAAGCAGATCATGGAAGGACTTCACCTCTTACAAGCTAATGCACCACCCACGCTTTAGTGGTGACTTTACTCTGTAGTGTTTCTTTACCTGTTTTCTAAGGTGTCATTTGTCAATCTAAGTACTTTGGGTGACTCTCGTGGAATTACTGTGATTTATAATGATATGATGTGAGGTCACATGTGATCCATGTAACTCCTGGTTAGTCACATTCACGTGTGTTTGCTGATTTGATGTGGTTTTGTTGCTGTTTAAATACATATCTGTGTCTTTTACTCTCATGTTGTGGAACTAAAAAGCTAGATCTGTAAAGAATGAGAATTGTGGGGTTTCAAACCCTCTCCTTCCGATCCCCCAGAATCCACCTGTCTGTCACGTACCGCCTGACTGACCAACCTCTGACCTTCACTGTCATCTGTCCTTCAAACATGCACACGGACACATTTCACGTGTGTGTGTGTGCTTGTGTCTGTGTGTTATTCTCTGATCAATCCGTCACTCGTTTTTTTTCCGTTCTGTTGGTTTTTATGGATGATCCAACTTATTGTGAGTCTTCCAGAAAGAATTTTAAGGAAATCATCTTAACATTATTTTAATGTTAGACATATTCTTGTCTTCCAAATGCAAAAAGAGTGCTTCAGTCTTCCAGCTATCAAAGCCACAATGACACTATTTTTGTATTCAAAATGGGGCAAAAAATATATCTATATATCTCTCTATATAAATATATACACGCAAATGTGGTTGGGGTGCAGTAACTCCCCCTGTTGCTGGCAAGGTGGAACAACACAACATTGAAACACCATCCAAACCCATGGATCGCTTGGAGGAAGGAGCTGAAAAGGACTACAGAGAGCCCTGGGAGTTCGGAGACTCAGACTTGTGGGCTGAGATGGAGGATCACAGACGGGCTTGACTACAAGCATGCATGCGCCAATCATTTACTGGACACCTTCAAAGAAACAATCCTTCCCCAATATTTACTCTTTGACACCCTTTAACCCCTTGACCCTCCCCCTCTTCAACACTTCTACTATCCCAAACTCTTCTCTCTGCATTTGCTATATGATCTGTATTTATTTCTATAATAACTTACCCAAAGTCAAAGGAGACATATTATTGGATATAATTGAATAAAACAAACTAATATATTTGTATGATTGTAACACTGGTCTCTGGAGTTTTTTTTCTCTTTTTAATCAGGTCTTCTGTATCATTACATCTGCTTATTAGCTCTATGTTTGATTTATTAAAAAAACATCTAAATATCTACATACATATACATTCAATACATGCAAACCAAGTCAATTTAATGTCCATTTAATGAGCAAGAAGATACTTTTGGATGTGCCCTTATTTCCCAAAGTGAGGCTGCAGCAGATGGCTCCACTACAGTTTACAATATGATATAGTATGGAAGATGGATGTAAACGCCCCCTGGTTATGTAATCCACACGTTAAAACCTCAATATTAGCCATTTTTGGGAGCTAAATGTTACCATATTTGATGGAAGAGTAGAGTGTGAATTTATCAGCTTGGTTAGGAAGCTCTCTTCATAAACTCTAACACTCACAGTCACAGCCAGTCGAAGTAATAGACTAATAAAACACAAGAAGAACTCGGAAAGCACAAACCTCTGCCAAGGTAATACTTACTTTTATGGGAACAACATTTTATTTATGTAAATTTATTTTGTTGCTTTTAAAAATACTTTAAAATTTGCAGTGCTGTAAAAATCAGATAAAAGGAGCATGACAAACTGTTACTTTGATTCCACAGACATTCTGTAGGAGTAGTAATGGATAACATGAATAACTTGCGCTTATTAAATATTATTCTAAAATATATTTCTTTTTTTTTTTTTTTTTTTTTTTTTTTAAATGACATCAGAAACAGCAGTATGCGACATTACGTGATGGCAGAGCTTCAGTTCATCCTTTGTCATTTTTTTTTCTAATAAATAGGACAGGGGGAATGAATGAGAGAAAGAGGGGGAGAGAAAGAAAGAAAACCAAAGGGGAGAAGAGACGGTGAGAAGGGGGGGGGAAAAAAAAACAACTCCTGGGTCACCTGTATGGAGAAAAAAAACAAACAAAAAAAACAAACAGAGGAGACAGCAAACAACAAAGAGCAACATAATAATAGAGAAAACAAAGCACCATCACAATAAACTAGCTAGTCATAGATATCAATAGTTACTAAATAATAAACGATATTGTGCAGCACGCAAGATAGACAGCGCACAGTGTGCTTTGAGGCAGCAGCCAAGAAAGCTTTAGTCCGCGTCTGTGAATACCCATGTGTACACCTGTGTGCATACCTGTGTGGATCAGCATGCTTGCATTCCAAAGGTTTCTCCATGTAATGATCTGCTAGGGAGTGTGGGGGGGCCACAGCCCCGTCCTCCAGGGTGTGAAGCGGGTATGGAGGAGATCAAAACTCCAGACATCCAGAGGTCCCCAGAACACAAGAGACCACGGAAGACCAACAGAGGGGCAGCCGCGCCACTGTTCCAGTAAGAGCTGAGGAGAGTCCCAGATGAGGGCTCGCCCAGCAGCCGCGGAGCAGAAGCCAGGGGGAGTTGCAGTGACGCGCCCGTGAGCTCCGCCGGCCCCCAGCTGTGCCTGAGTGACCGAGCCCCAGGCCGAGAGGCCGGGGGCACCCCACCTCCAAAGGGGGCCCGAGCGAGCCCCAGGCCCCAGGCCCCGACAAGCGGCCGCCAAGGAGTGAGCCGGTGTGTACAGTTAGTTAGAATATATTTCTAACTAACTGGGCACTCTTTCTTTTGACAATACTTTCTTTAAAGATATAAAGCATTTTGGGTTCAGCTTGAAAGAAAGCCAGATTTAAAATGCACAAGTGAGATCAAATGTGATATGATTTTTTGAATCTTTATGCAGCATATGTTGATAATACACACTACAGTTATTAAGACGCTAGCTATAGGTTATAAGGCTTTTTGTCTGTTTTTGACCAATACATCATTGCTTTGGATGACCTTAGTGGATGTAAGCCAAATTTTAATGGACTGTTAACATGACCCTACTCTAGACTCCTAAAAGGTTTCATCATAATTTATTCAACACTTTTCAGGCTATGGTATTTACAAACAGAATAATGAGACACATCAAATGCTACCAAAGAACATGACCTCCTTGGCAGAAGTAACTAGACTTTCACTCGAGCACAGAAAGTAAGTAGCAAAAAGATCTGCATTGGCTTCATTTTTCTTCTTCAAAGGTTGCAGCTTAGCTTCAACATGCCAAGAAAATCACATCGTGTACTTTGTTTGCACTGTAAATGTTTTTACAGTGCACTTTTAGTTGACCTCGGTTGGCAGTTGGCAGACTTTTATTTTGAAACTCTAAGAAAATGCAAAAATTGAAAGGATAAAACAAGATAAAAAGAAAATGATTAAATTGATGCTTTTTAATATACATACAGATGAACAAAAAGGAGGAAAGTTGACACTTTCAGTGAATAAACTATAATGACTTCCCCAAACATTTAGAATAAAGTTACATAACACAGTTAACACATAATCTCTTTTTACTCATATTTGTAGATAAACAATCAATGTAATTTAGCTTAACTACTTCAGAATTAAATAATCATCTCTCATGAAGTCCTAGTTTGAGTTACTGCCAAAGGAAGCTTTATGCACTCTCCCTTGACCGGTGACGTGATGTGTGACTTGACACCGGGCGCTAGCTGTTAATAGTTAGCTTCTATGGTAATTAAATTGGCAGCAGGCCAAATGGCAGTGACAGTGTGTCATAAATTATGGTGGCGTGGATGGTCGACGAATGTGTGCAAGAGCAGTTTGGCATGAAGAGATGAGAGGAGGGACATAAAGACGGGGATGTAGATGTTTTACTGCAGGGGCAAATCAGAAAATACAGCAGTGTCTGGAGTGTTTCATCAACTTGACTTTATACTGAGAGAATAACAGCTGCTAATGTCTGGTCTGTTGGTTCTGCGTGTGTCCTGTAGAACCAAAACATACATCAGAACTGAATGCACAAAAAGTTGAAATACAGTTTAAATAGGATCATTTAACCCCTCAGTTGGGCAAATAGGTTAAGCAATTAAAGGAAGTGATCGCAGCATGTGGGTGTAGGCAAGAAGAAGCTGGGGAAGAAGACTCAGCTGGAGGTAATGTCTCAGTGACATATTACAAAATAGGATTTTAGGTCAAAGGGTCATGAGATTAGAAAAAGAAAAGAGAAAGTCATTAAATAGATCAAATGAGCTGATAGTGAAAACTCTTGAGAACAAGAAGTTATTATTATTAAGATGGCAGCTGCCAGCGTGTTTTTGCATTCAAGAGTTTTGGAGCTGAGGAGAGCACTTACTGAAACAGCTTTCAAATCCAAATGTTTTCCAATTAATGTCTGATATACTCCAGGATTTTAGCATCTCAACAGTTTTGGGCCTAATATTTTAATTTCATAAAGCACTACATGTTTTTTGTTAGGTGACAGGTCTGGTCAGCAGGCAGCTTAGTTTAGCACCTATTTCATCTTTATATAATAAGACATGCAGAATGCGGTTTGACATTGTGTTTCATCGTGTCACCTTTGGACTGGATGTTGCTCTAAAACCTGTAAATATTGTTTAATATGAACTTTACAGGTACAAACGTTATCCATGCCATTTGGTCTGATAATAACCTGATTGTTCCCTTTCCAAAAAAAATAATTTTAAATTATTATCCAATAGTCAGATTATTTCAGATTATTTGAGGCCCATGCAATTTTGGACCTTGTTTATGTATGTTTTTTGTTCCTCTGCATTTTAGAGTTTTATCTTATAATGTGGCTACAGAACTGGCTTCATGGTTTTCTGAATCAGAAAGCCAAAACAGCTGAACTGTCATTCTGTCAACTATCATTTCATAGGTTTTCTTTTTCCCCCCAAAATTCTCAGAATCTCTTTTAGCTTCACAGTTACATAAACAGCAATCTAACTTTTTGGGGAGGGTTTTGGAAGAGGAAATATACCAGAAAAAATTATACAAATTTTTTGCATATAAAACCTCACAAGAATTTCTGCCAGTTTGATGCTTGTGTGTATCCCCAACCCCTTCACCAGAGCCCCACCCCTTCCTGGAGGTAATTGGAGTACACAGCAGCTGGCATGGCTGCTTGACTGACAGACAACAACAGTACAAACTGAGTACTGACCAAGTCAAAGTTTAGCTGTAGAGTTCCAGTGAGCTGAACTGGTAAAGAAAGATAAGCAGGGAAGAAGTTTGATTCACTCATTCAAGATCTATTTCCGGGGAGGACAAGAGTTTGGTTTTGGGCCTCATCATGAAAAGCCTGGATCTGTTCCTGCTGGCATGTTGCTTATACAGCCTGAGCACATTGGGAGGTAAGTACAGGCTGACACAGTATACTCATGTAACAAAGCGTTAGTTGTCATGCAAGGCCAACATGAATACTCGTGTAGTATCTAATGTAGAATAAGATCATAGAATGGAAAGTACCAGAAAAGAACAAATTCAAAATAGAAAACTTTACAGTAATACTTGAGAATATGATTTCTCTGACACAATGTCAGTTCCTATTGGAATACTGTACAATAAAAATGTTTTATTAGTACGTTTCAATGTAGGCTAGACATTAATACAGGCCCAGCAGTTTATGTGTTTTCTTCTGCTCATGTTTCTTTAGCTTATCAATCTGGTTTGAGTGTTTAATGTCTTTTCCCATGGGCTAATTTAGAAAATGGCAGAAATCACAGTGAGTCATTTATCAAGAGAGACATGTAGCATATCGTGTTGGTGTAACTGTGTAAAGAGCACAGAAAGAGCACAGAAACATGGTCATTAAACATAAAAATGAGAACCTTCAGTGGCTCTGTGAGGCTGTACCTCTTTGATCTGTTAACATTAGCATGCTAGCATTTGAAAAGCAGACAATATAAAAGATGGATGTGGCTATTGTGATGTCGCTCACTGGTTTCTGAAGTCCCAATTTGAAACATTGAGCTAAACATTACTTCCCTCTTGGTTGCAATAAATGTTAAAAGATGTAAGAGTTTATTTCCAGATTGACAACAGGAGGAGGCTAGTCTTCGGTTGATTGGTGAGGGAGGAAAACTGTGAGAAGTGTTGTGGAGCAGCATGTAATGGAATGTACTCAGATAGCAACAAACGTTTGCAAACCTCTTTGGGCCACAACAAGTCGTGAATGACGGCATTGGCTCATCGGGTAAGTCTGACTGCCTTTAGTCACAGGGTTACCTTTGGTGGGTCGCATGCAGGTACTGTTGCAGGTATGTTGTAGCTTTTGGGCCACATTACACTTCTTGTAGCCCATGTTAGGTCCCTTCAAGAACTTTGGCTCATACGAGTTTACCATTACTGTACAGTAATCGTGCTGTGCGTTCTGGAAGTAGCCCTAATTAGGCCAAGACGTGTCTGCTATTGAGACAAGTGACAAACTTATTTCATTAGCAGACAGGAGCTGATGTACAGCTAAAGTTGATGAGTTTAGAGGATCGAGGTGCGGCATCCACACGAGCTCCAGAGTGACAAACGTGGCATACAGGGACAGTTAAGCACAGGGATTATATCACGTAGGGAGCCATGACAGATTTATGATATGTATCTCTCATTCAAATTGCATCTCATGGCATCAACAAACTAATAAAACTCACTAATGAATTTATGCCGAAGACATTTTTGAAAGATAACAAGAAATGATGAAATAGCGAAACAAAATACCTGTAACACAATGGCAGATTTCATCTTTAAGGACTTGTGTTCACAGCAGTTATAAACTAAAGAAAATACGATCAGAGACACGACAGTCGCAGAGAATCACAGCCAGTTAAGTTGAACACATTTCTTCAGAGAAATCAATAACTTCATTTTTTCATACAACTTATTTGGTAAGTTGCCCAGTGGTTACTGGACAGTGCGCTCAAACCACTCTGAGAAGGATGTAGTGTATACTGAACTTTATTGCAGTCAGTTTCAATTTTAAACCATGTTTATCACTGCTGAGCCACTACTCACTCGGTGAGTTTATGAGAAAAAAGCTGAATAACTGGGTCTTTTCAAGCAGATACTCACATATTCTCTCCAAAAAAGAAAAATATAGTACAAAATCTTTTTAATTTTAACTGGTTATACAACCATCCAGTATTTTAGTTTTAGCTAATTCTTTAGTCAGTCTTGTTATTTACCAAGTGATCTCAGCTGGGTAGTGAGATAAAAAATGCTAAATTCTGGCCTTCGATAGTCACCTCCCGTTCCATCAGCAGCCATGCTTCCTTGTGCCTAGCTAATGGGGTGCCTTGCTGGGTGATCGTCATCATTTATTCCTGTCAGGTCAGATCCTGCTGGGGCCACAGCAATGCCAGACGTGATGAATGCTGCGTCACAAGAGCTGCTGATTATAAATGCTTCTAACCTTCCAACACCAAGGAGGAAAATGTTGCAAGTAAATCAGGGATTACGCATGAAAATGCAATGGAATGCAAGTGTTTGAGTAGGTTTGCGATTATGGAGACCTGAAGCGAAACATTTAGCATTGATATAAAAACAGGACCTTAGAACCTCAGGAACTTATTTGAAATACATGTCTTTTACTTGTTTTAATTAGAGAAAATAATGTGGGAATGCACTACTACTACTTCACATGGTAAGCCAATCCATCTGTCAATCCTGAATTCCACTTAAAGCAGTCTATCCACATCCAATAGCAGTACAGCTTTTCTGACTGAAAGGTCTGACTGATTGATTCTGGACTTGAAGGTGGTAATTGTCATCTAGTCACTTTTTTGGGGGTGTCATTGGTCAGTGAAGTCAACAGCATAGCATAATTTGCAAAAAGCAGAAGGACATAGAGCTGACCTTTCACCCCTTGGCTGGACCTAGGAAATTGGTCTGTAAAAGCAGTTAACAGAATTTTTGGTATTAAACAATCAGGAACTTTACATTGAAACATTATAGTGATCATCAAAATGAATAATCAATAAATTTTTTATCAAACATCCACTTGTTCCACACTATTGACTTCGGTATTGAGACAGTCGTCGATTGATTATATTTTGATGCACAGCACAGCTTGCTCGGCGACACAGTGTCACCAGTGTGTATCTAGTGAGTGAACTCCTTTATTAATTCAGTGCATCAATGCAGTCAGCAGCTGCTGAGGCTTTTGGAGGGACATATCTAGCTAAATCTGAGTGAATGACTAGCAATTATTAAAGGACTTCAGTTTGAAGCCTGCCATCACAACTGACCTCTGTCAATGTGTATTACAGGTGCAACTGAATCAGAGAATACTCTGATGAAGAGCCTCTTTTCCAAATACAACCTTAAGGTCCGACCAGCTCGTACCCCTGAAGAGAGGGTGGTGGTTCGCGTGGGCATGATCCTCACATCCTTCGTCGGACTGGTGAGGCCCAAAACCCCAACACAAAAGTACACACAGTAAACAGCAGGTCACTGCAGATTAAAAAAAATCTAAATTCTAGCATAGTAGAATAAATTTAAACAAGGGCTGATTCTAATGGATTATAAGCCAGGTCTCCATCGACCCCTTTCGAGAACCCAGGACTGACTGTAACCCAGCATGATGTAACAGAAGTTTTGACCAGTTTAATGCTGATTCCCAATCACCAAAATGTTTGCCATTAGCTGACAATTCACAAGAACAGTCGCCTTAAGGTGCTTTATGTTGTAAGGTAAAGACCCTACAGCATTTGGGAGAAAACCTTAACAAACTATGACTGCCTATGAACATCTGCTTTGTGACAGTGATCAGAAAAAACTCCCTTTTAACAGGAAGAAACCACTCCCAACCACCTGTCTTATAAGTAAGACTGCAGTCTGAACAAAATGAAGAGAGCAAAGCACTCCGTTGGCTAATACGTTATGAGGTCATGAAGATACAATGGAGCTTAATTATTTAAGGAACTATATATGAGAAGGATTTTACTTCTAGGCTGGATTTAGCAGAAATCCAATGAAGAGAAGTTAATACTAGACGCTGTTACTGCTCTTTATGCAGTGTTCTGAATCGACTGACGGCTTTTCAGAGAGCTTGTAGAACAGCCTAATCATAAAGAACTGAAACTGTCTAGCCTAGAAGCTACATTCCTTTAATATCTTTTCCAAGATCTGAAAAGATGAATCTGTCATAATCGGACACATCAAAGTCTGTGACCATGCTACAGTAGAGAGACGATGGTTTTTCTGTGGCTTTGCCTCTGAAATGTAAATGTAAAGCTTATCTTCCATATTCTCCACCATGAATGAATCCCAGTGCCATCTGAATTTAAATTCACAACCAGATGGCAAAAATGAGTACTACTACTGAGGTGTAGTGAAGTACTGTATTTTTATTCATTCATGCTGGGAAATAGTGTTTAGTGGCATGCACTGATTGGGCTGCTGCCTGTGTGACTGCATTAAAGGATAAGCCGTACACACACACACTCACACACGGTCACTTTATGAGCTTTTTATTTTCCCCTTTACTCTCTTCTCCTAGGCAATCAAAAACCAACACACATAGTGCATCCACACACCCACACTCCTTACACCTCTACTCAAGGTCACGCTCTCTCTTCCTCTCTCGTCACGTGGATCATCTTAAGTTGTGGAGTTGACCTGTCTTGAAAACTAACCCACTTGGATTCTTAGTTTGACAAGTAACTAGTCCAGCTGGGTAACTGCAGAGTTATTATTAACACTGGGCCTGACGGGTATTGATATGCAGGCAATGACATGTGTGAGGTAGCAAGATGTGTTTGCATGAGGAAGACATCCAACGTTTGCTGCCCCCACTCATGCTTTGGTCCCAGCTGTCCCAGTTGGGGTTTTAAATAGCAGGCCGAGGAGCAGAGAAGCTTAGCCAGAATTCATGACTTGACCTTCACATCATGGGTACAACAGTCCCACAATGCAATATGTCACATTTTGTACATGCAAAAATGCCAGTCATGCAGCAAATCCCCTCATGTCTCTGCCTCTTAGTCCTTTTTGTAAAAGAGTTGTTTAGAGACTACATGTGTCCCCTGCTTGTTAAGCTAAACTAATATCCCAGTGGTTCCAAAAATTCCCAAAACATTAAAAATTCCTCTGCAATAATGTTAACTAGTCCAATAAAAGAAAATTCCAATAAAGTCTTGAAAAAAAAAAATCTGAGTAATATTGTGATTTAGTTAATAATTCATTTAGACACCTTTGTAACAATAAGAGGTCGCGCCTAAACACAAACATAAACTACTCATTCAACCAATAGATTCAACTCCAAACCCTTCTTTCAATAAAGTGGTATTGCCTATCGCTGCACCATCATGTCCCCTGGCCTCAGGGCTGGACTGGGACAAAAAATCGGCCCGGGCATTTTGACTAGAGACCGGCCCACCAGGTATTACAGGAAAAGCCATAAAGCCTTTGAATGAAAACAACGCTGTTGTGACAGTGATGTACAGTCTTGTTGGTATATGTATGATTTCTATACATTTTACATCAGATAAAAACTTTGGTTGTAAGATTCAGATAATTATTTTTAAAAGCGAGACATTTTAAATGAGAATAAGAAAGAAAAGTATTTCTTTGTGCCCCCCTTTCCCTGTTAATGCCCTACCTGCCCCCCTGGCAACACTTTGCTAGACCCGCCCCTGCACAGTTACCAGCTGTCAGCTACTTAGAAAAGGATCCTGGTGTTATTTGTCTCTCAGAAACAGTTCATAACTTCCCTTCAACTCATTCATGTCACCTAAAAGGTAAACCTGTTTCTCCATCACAGCTCTGATGATTCAGTAAGGACATCTCCTGGTTTCATCTTCATGTTTCCCTCTCACCAGATAACCAAACCATATCATGACCAGCAGCTTTACAGCTGTGGCTCCAGCAAACATCAGCTGATACTAGAAATTAATATTAAATAAATTCTAACAACAGCTGATCAAGCTTAAACGTGCTGCTGTTGTTTAGCGCGACATCCGCTGGTTTCCTCTTTCTGGCGCAAAGTGAGCGATAAACAAACAAGAGAGAAAAGCGATCAGCTGATCATGATCAGTTTTCATGATTGAAGTAGCTGTGCAGCATAAACACACAGAATAAATCCAGCTTTGTGTGTTTTTCCATTATAGCTAAAGTACGGGACAAACTGTGTTCCTTCTCAGCTCAATACGAAACGCATAATATTTTCTCTGAATGAGGGACCATTCCATTTTTTAAGGAGCTGTTGGCAACTCTACTAACTAACCTTATGAATAAAATAAAGTTCACTATCAGTAACATCATAGCACCACCCAGCTGTATAGAAACTCCGTCATGCTAGCTAGCTACGCAGTACGAGTTATTGTAACTGACTGTAAAAAGTCAGCACAACGAAAATAAACTCCACCTAAACTTGGTTTATATCTGACCCAGATAGACTGCAGGTCATAACTTCTTACCTGAAGTTCAGTTCACCTGACACTCGGACCGGCGGCTCGCCTCGGGTCTCTCCTCCTCCTGCCTCTCCCTTCCCTCATCCACCTGCTGGCCTCTGTGGAAGCCCCGCCATAGCCACCACCAAACAACTGAGTTATTTTTACACATCACCAGCATCTGGCCAATCCACCACCTCTCATTGTTCATGCCGTTACAAAAACAAAACAAACAAAAAAAAAAACATCGGCCCATAAAAACGAAAAATCAAACGCAAATGCCCGGTATGCCCGATGGCCAGTCCAGCTATGCCTGGCCTGTTGGAACAAATGGTTTTAACTATATAAAGGCGCTTACTACAAAGTTCACCACTGAGTGTATGTCATGGCTGTCTGATCACAGTGATGTAACAAACATTTCCAGAGGCAAAAAATGACACAGGTATTAACATTAACAGTATGAACTACTAAAACTTAACTTTTAACCTGGTTTTAACTTTGAACTGTATGTATTATTTAGATATCTTTTAGACATCACACTGTACTTGCTGTCCTTCCATCAAAAGGTTAAGGCTGAAAGACGAACAAATAAAAAATTTAGAATCACATTGAGGTTTGATTAACCTCAGTAGAATGTATCCTGACTGTGGGGGGAAGTCCATGCAGTATGCACACTCCACACAGAAAGCCCTCAGCTGGCAGCATAGTCTAAACCAGGGGTGGGGAAGTCCAGGCCTCAAGGGCCGGTGTCCTGCAGGTTTTAGATATCCCCCTGGGTCAACACACCTGACTCAAATGATTAGTTCATTACCAGGCTTCTGGAGAACTTCAAGACATGTTGAGGAGGTCATTTTGCCATTTAAATAATCTTTGTTGGATCAAGGACGTATCTAAAAACTGCAGGACCCTTGAGGTCTGGAGATCCCCCACCCCTGGTCTGAACCAAAAACCTTCTTTTTATGAGGCAACAGTGGTAACCAATTCTTGCAATTAAATGCTTGCAACAACCTAAAAACCTAACTTTTCATGCAAATGGAAGGCTTTTCATAGACTGATGATTGACTAACCAGATTTAGTCCATTAAACTGATGGATGGTGTTTGGTGGGAATGGTACTTACAGCACTTTTCTGCTTTTGCTGAGCACTCAAAGTGCTTTCTTATTATAAGCCCCATTCACAAACCTATTTCTACCCCTAAGAGCTGTTTTAAAACCTGTCTTTCACATTTCATTGAATGCTTTGCAAGCAAATTAGGATTCAGTATCTTAACCACAGATACGTTGACATGCACCTTAGAGAAACTGAGGATTGAACCACTGACCTTCTGATTAGTAGACAACCTGCTCTGCCTCCTGTACCACAGCTGCCCTGAATACGATTTCTCAAACTCTCACCACCACAAAACCTGTAATGCCATTAGGGTGTTCTTTGTGCATAACTCTGTATCTGTATCCCTACAAAATGAAAAACGATCTGAAGCAAACAGTTATGAAGTACATACTGAAATGCATATTTTCGCATTTTTATAACAGAATATGAAAAATGAAGAAATGAGCACCACTGTTGTCATGAATCTGGTGAGTCTATTTGCATGCCTGCTCGTCATACTTGCAAATTGAAGTAAATCTTAAGCCGATAGAATGAATTATCCAACAGCTTTCTGAGTGTACTCTAACTGAAAAACTCTTTCACATCACACTGAGCAGCTCATCCGTGACTCCTACTCCAGTGGCAGTATGTTTATTAACACGGGGCCTCGTCTTTCGAGTACAGCTCAGTGCCAATGCACACTGTGCATATAATCAGTAGAACAGTTGGAGTAGTCATAATAGCAGGCAAAATGAAAAAATATGCAAATTGTGTTTTGTTATGCAAGGACAAATGCACAGGGAAGCCATCCCTGTGGAATCTAATTACAGAAGTGGAGAAATGAAAGATAAAGTGATACAATGACAAATTGGTTGCATTTGTTAAAGCAAAGTTTCTGCTTGCTGTCATTTTCTGCTTTAATCCCAACTCTTTTCATGGACTTGTGGATAATAACATCCCTATGTATTAAAAAAAAACAAGCTTTTATAAAAATGTTCAAACAGGAATGGACAGATTATCGGTTGTCATGGAAACCGAAGGAGCACAATGGGATTCAGGTGCTACGCATCCCCTCTGGGAAGGTTTGGCTTCCTGACATCGTCCTCATCAATAAGTAAGTATTAGCATTGCAACTCGCATTAGCATTAGCATCAACGTTAACATTAACAAAGACTTGAAAGGAGAACGTTTTTGATCTCTTTGTACGATTTTTGGATTTGTGTGCAGTGTTTGCAACCTTTTGTACTTACTAATTTACCCCTACCTGAGTGAAATAAACAAGTATTGCCATATAGTAAATATTTTCATATCAAATCCGTATCCATCGTACTATATTGTTTTGAAATTGGACAAATTGCATACCCCTGTAGCTTGTAGCTGCAGGCCACTGGAGACTAGGTGATGGGCCAGGTAAATTATAGTAGTGCTCATGTGTATTGGAAAAACTATATAACACAGCATTAAATTAAAGACTTAGATACTCAGAACAGCAAGTTTAGTCTTTTCCCCATATTGGCTCACGCAGACACGCTCCCATTAACACCACTGTAAATATCCCCACTGCTCCATTCATCAACACTTTATAGGCAATTAAGCAGCATGGCTCCCTAATAACTGAGCTGATAGCACCGCTCAGCTACTTCAGCTTGTGAGGCGTTCATTTGGAACCGCACGGATACACACAAATATGCACGTCCACACAAATGCAAATTTGCGCGTGCTTCTCTTGGGTTGTTCAATGCCGGCCATTTTAGCAGCAGCACTTTCACAGGGACAGATTTTTAGGAGGGCCCGGGGTAAAGACACAAGCTTCTCATTGTTCAATTATCAGAGACATAAAACTCAAACACTGTACACTGACAGAAGGCTAAATCTGTGTCTAATTGACTTGATGTCTTCGTTGTGCATTGTGTTATGAGCCCGACAGCTTAGTATAGGAACAACATTAGCGCTGCACTTACAGTCAAAGTGCCCCATAAAAAGTGTGCAAAGAATCTCCATTTAATGCCAATTACAATGTTTAGATGTGGGGGTGGAGCTAAATGTTCATGTTCTACACAGCCGTGGCTTTGCCTTGTCTGTCTCTTTCTAAGCTTTGTCAGAGGAACTGAGATGATAACAAAACAAAGACTACAACTGAGATGCAAACTTTGATTGCTGCTATTTTGCAACTTTATAACTTAAGTCAGCAGCATGGAGAGTTGTTATTGCTTCAGTACTCTAATAATGCCTTGGTGGTGCAGCTGCAGAACAGAGACACCTCACTGTTTGTCACATTTTAGTTTATGCTGGCTGGATTTCCTCACCAAGCCCTCTCAGCTATCTTTGTAAAAGCAAAGTCACAATAAACCATCCATCTCCAGCACAAAATAGGGGCGGGGGGCGTCTCTGACCTTTACAGAAAAGTGAAACCAAAAAGTCATTCCTTGTTACAGTTTTACTCAATTGCTCAACATTTTTGAAGTTTTCTTAAAAACACATTTTCCAAAGCAGATCATACATGGAGCAAAACACTGTATAAATACAGACCTCTGATAAAGAAAAGAGAACGTTTTCACAGAACTTTGTGGAGTATGTTCTTAGTGCATCTATAGAAATTAAGACAGTAAATAGCAGCCAGATGTTACCAGTCTAATGCAATTGAGGAACTGATCATCAGCAAGTGTCACCGTGTCTCTAAAAAGTAGAAGTTTTGGCAGTTTGCAGGTCTGGAGCATTCAGCTGTGTGTTAACACAATGCCAAGGAGGTAAAACATCAGCAACGATCTTAGAGAAGCAATTGTTGCAACACATATAAGTGAAACTAATGACAAATGCAGGGACTTTCCATCTAAGAAGAGTCTTATTTAACTGTTAGACAACAGAACAAATGCAATTCATTTGATACAATACAATTTGGGCTATGTTTCAAGATATGTTATGGAATTCTGTGATATGTCGCCATCCATAACATACTACAGATTACCTCAACATATAACATGTGATATAGTTTGATTTATTAACCAAAACTGGCTAATTTGTATTTCATGTTTTGTTTTCAGTAATGATGGACAGTTTGATGTGGCCCTGCACGTCCATGTTCAGGTTTACAGTAATGGCAGGGTAACCTGGACTCCCCCTGCTCTGTACTGCAGTTCCTGTGGAGTCAAGGTAATTTTCCACAGATCTACTATGTATTTATCTTCCATCCAGTTTCGTCTAAGCTTGGACGTTGTTTCCGACTCGTTTAAATGCCAGTTTTTTGTGTCTAGGTAACATATTTCCCATTCGACTGGCAGAACTGCACCATGCAGTTTCGCTCTTACACATATGACTCAACAGAAATCGACCTGCAGTATGCCCTGAATTCAAAAGGCAAGGAGATTCGGGAGATCCAGCTGGACGAGTCTTTCAGTGGTGAGCACTCATGACGTGATACATATTCTTAAGTAGAAGTACTTCAGATGTATTTTCATGTTACTGTATATTCAAAGCATCACATTTTTGCATAACCCCTTCTTGTGGTTTGCAAATGTGTTGCTAGTGTAATACGATTACTAAATGCGCTAAAATTAATAGAAATCTAAGCTGTGGATGTTTCTCTAGAGAGTGGTGAGTGGTACGTAAGACACAAGCCAAGCAGGAAGAACACATTTGATGACGAATATGAGGAAATGACTTTTTACCTGATCATCGAGAGGAAGCCTCTGTACTACATCATCAACATCATCATCCCTTGCATCCTGATTACTATCATCGCCATCTTCAACTTCTATCTGCCTCCCGATGCAGGTAAACACTTTACAGAAATTGCTTTCAGATCACTTGATGACTATGAATTAAAGCTCTCTTTATGTGACCACCAGGATCGTAAACAAGCTCCACCTTGATGTAAAACTGCTAATACCATTTCCCAATTGAGTTTGTGTGGTCGGTTTAAAATGGGCAATCAGGCATTTAGCTAATTATAAACGGATCCAATTTCAGATTAGATAGGTGCTTCCCGGAACACAGTTGAATTGATAACCTTTAAAATGAAGGAGGTAGAAAAACAGCTTAGAGCAATCGGCTTGACTCTGTCCTTTCCCTTATACGCTTACCTTTATGTTTGGACAAGCCTGCTCATTGGGTACATTGATTGATTGGGACACACATATGCAAAATACAACCTGAGATATTAAAGTTTGACTTAGCACAAAACCCACAGATGTGCAAATATGCATGAATCTCAATAAGGTACACAGATCGGAACATAACATAACATACTGCATTCCTGCATAGCTGTATTAATATTCATTGACATGATACTGTCATTATGCATTGATGTAGGCATGTATTTTAGTATATAAATATATTAAACATTGATAAAGTTATTATTTTCTTGAACAATGATGTAGGCCTATTTTTAGGAGTTTATAATAGCTATAAAAAGTCATTTTAACACTCTGTAATATTTTTATTTACATTTTTTGGAACGTGTGGGAGAAAAAGTATTGCAGAAAATGTCTGATTAGGATAACTGCTAAACGGATCATAGTTTACTGACCAGTGTATGCTATCTGCTTTGTTCACTGAAAAAACAATCAGGCAAGTGACCTTTAAAAACAACCACTTAGAGTCTTATTGGGATGATCAAGCAAAAGCTTCTTTTTGCTGCTCCCGTATTCACAAGTGGTCGCCACCAGAGATGTATCTGCATATTTGATTGGCGGAACTTTCTGCTGAATCGCCTTCCTGATGCAACCCTCACAGGGATTTGTGTCTCCTACTAGTCTTGAACCAGGGTCATATGAAATGACTGATTTGAACACGCAGTATAGGGACACATAAACAGCACAGGGAATCGTAGGGTTTGTTTTTTTTAATCTCCTCCAGTTTTACATTAATTTTCCAGTGATGCAGAAAGAGATGCTTTGCTTCTCAGTGAGAGGCTTCAAACTGCTCTCTTAACCTACCAGCTCAACCCTTCTGGGCCCTGTACTATGAAGCAAGCTCAGCATACCCAGGATGCCTTTCTGTTATCTGGATTCATTTACCCCAACGCTGACAGTCAGGATAAGCCGTCACACGGAGTTGGTCAGAAACTTGCTAAATTAACCCTGGGTCTTGGTGTAAATCGTTTGCAGCCAACAGAAAGAAATCCATGCATCCATCCACTCGCTTCCGCTTGTCCTTTTCAGGGTCGCGGGGGGCGCTGGAGCCTATCCCAGCTGTCATAGGGTGAGAGGCGGGGTACACCCTGGACAGATCGCCAGTCTGTCGCAGGGCCAACACACAGAAACGGAAATACATTAAATTTAAATAAAAAAGTTGTCTCTAAGAAACCAAGAGACATTAGATGCTACTGGAAAACCTTAAATCTTCCTATTGCATGTGCACAGAGGTCTGAGGGATCTACCAGGACTGGTAACGCAATTCTCTTGGAAAACTAAGTTGATCTCTAATTGGGAAGGAGATTAGGCTCGCAGTATAAATGATCATGTGATGCACCCAGGTAAGACGTGAACCACTTTTGCAGTAGATAAAACTGCGGGTTAACCCCGAAGTTACCTTGGTGATGAAATCTGGCCTCGTAGTACAGGCCTGTGGTCATTTACAAACACAGTTGGTACACAGTTTGTACGTGACCACAGAATGAACTAAAGAGCCAATGCTGTGTCACCCAATCAGCCTCACTTAGAATGGGAGATGAATTTTTCATTAGCATCATTGCTAGTAAATTACATTCACCAGATGCTCCTCGAATCTCAGTGAGTTGAAAATGGAACAAACCTTGGCCCGGTAAAGCTTAATGAGTCGTAACACAGGAACAAGAAATGCGCTGTTTCTGACTTTCCTAAATAATTGTGTTTTTTTTTCTTTGCAAGGTGAGAAGATGGGTTTGTCAATCAATGTGCTGCTCACCCTCACCGTGTTCCTGCTGCTGCTGGCTGATAAGATCCCCGAGACCTCGCTGGGTGTTCCCATCATCGTCAACTACATCATGTTTACCATGGTCCTGGTCACATTCTCTGTCATCCTCAGTGTGGTTGTGCTCAACCTCCACCATCGCTCTCCCAACACCCACATGATGCCAATGTGGGTCCGCAAGGTGAGCGTACATTTCAGGGTCACACAAGCTTAATTTTTGCCTGCTTGGCACATCATCATACAAGAACTCTGAAAGGAAATAATGTCTGTGTCTCTTAAGAAATAGTTTTTGTCTTTCTAGCATGTGTTGTTACAGTGTCTTGCATATATACTGTAGGTTGTTCATTTGTGCCAGAACAGCCCAGAAGCACAAGCAATCTTTCTTTCTGTTGTCAGAGGTTTTGTCAGAATACCACCTTTCATTTGCATTGTGAAAATACGTTAAGGCAAGTCATTAAGTAGCCAGCATGTCTGTGAGGAGAGCTGGAAAGGACAGGGGGATATTGGGAGGCTATGTGATAAATGAAAAAAACTTCTAAACATTGAATTATCTGTCAGCAAGGAAGTAGAGCAAGCGGTAGGTTAGGACCATCAACTCTAATTAGTGTGACCCAAGAGACCATCTATCTATCTATGCAACTCCAAGGTGAGTTGCATTTCCAACTTCAACAAGACTTCAATATGTTATATGTTTTGTTTAAATTACAGTTAAAAAACACCAGATAATTGCAACAAGACATTGCACGAATGCTAAAGAGACTTTAATGTAATGTCCATATTTTTAGACACACATTTTTCCATATGTATTAGAAATTGGTTGAATGTAGTGAATCATATATACAACCAAGCTACACCTACCAACTTCCTTCAAGCATGTCTACTCCTGATAGTCACAGGCCAAGTGATGATCTTTTTAGGACACTTTTATTACAAATTTTAGAAAGTAGATTCAGTCCATTTGCAGGTTGCGTCCAGATCAACAGAATTAACTTTATTTTGTACTCAGTCAGATGGTCATGGAATATATGTCACGACTGGGGCAGCAGCCGTGTGATGTGTGGAAGGAGGACTCAAATGCAGCACTTATTCAGATGTGAGGGTGATTTATTAAGAATACCGAACATAAAGTGGGGATGGCAAAACAGAACTAAGGATGACCTAAACTGGGAGAAACTGAACCAAAGAGTAACAAACCTGAACATGAAGGGAGGACAGCAGGGAGAGCACGCAGGGGATTCACAGAGTAATGCAGAGGCAAACACACACTATAAATACACAGAGGGACACTGGGAAATCACACACACAGGTGGGAGACACAGCTGGACCTGATTAACCTGACGAGACAGGGGAACACTAACACCAGGGACCAACAGGGGGAGCACAAACCCAGAAACCCACTATCTAAAACACAAAACACAAACCATCCAAAACCAGCCCACAAATAATAATGAAAATAATAACAATAAATACACCAAACACAAAATCACTGAGTCACGGACTCAGGATCATGACAGTATAAAAGGCAGAATCTCCAGACTGATCAACAGCTTCCTCATACAAGCTGTTAAAATGTTGAACTCCTGATTAGGATATGTACAGTAAATGCACTACAAGTCAAAAGTTTGGACACATCTTCTCAGTTAATGGTTTTTCTTTATTTTTAACACTTTCTACATTGTAGATACAAACTGAATACATGAAAGATATGAAGCAAGATATATGGAATTATGTAGCAAAGAAAAAAGTGATAAATAACAAAATGTGTTTTATAGTTTAGATTCCTGAAAGCAGCCACTCTTTGCTTTGCTGACAGCGCTGCAAACCCTTGGCCTCGTCTCAGTGAGCTTGATGATGAAGCTGAAATGGTTTTCGGGGTTCATTTGTGGAATTTGTTGGCTTCTTAATGTGTGACCTAAAGCCAATGGAGATGGTTTGGGATGAGATGGACCCCAGAGTGAAGGCAAAAGGACCAACAAGTGCTCAGCATCTCTGGGAACTCCTTCAAGACTGACGACCTCATGAAGCTCATTGAGAGAATGCCACGAGTGTGCAAAGCAAAGGGTGGCTACAGGGTCAGGCTGAGTTCAGACACTAGATTGTACATGAAAAGACCAATCATGAGATGTGGCTCACAGAAAAAGTACTACCTCTACTCCATAGTACCTTTACTTCCCCTTTAGTAAATTAATTGGGGAAAAAAATTTTACTAATTTGATACAAAGAAGCTTATGAGTAACCTGAGGGTTAGGAAGTATATTTCTACATTGTGAACATGCATGAAAACTAAAATCAAGACTCCACCTCAAAAAATTATATTTTACCAGCAGTTGTTAGCATCTTGAAAATGGTCACTGTCTTGTATATTCAAATGGCTAATGGGTCATCATGTTAAAGACTGTGCACCTGAAATACATGAATTAAACTTTGGCATTAATTTGGCTATGAAAGCTGTGTTAGCGTGGGTCGAGGCAGACTACTCAATTAGGTCCACATACTTCTCGACACTTTAAACGTCATGTTATACCATTAACCTCCATCAGTTGCTGTTGCCCCCAGTGTACATTGTGTGAAGCTAATTACAGGCGTAAGTAGCAGCTCTGTGCTTTGGTCCAAGTTCTGTCATGGTTTCAGGGTACATTCACCACAGAAAGGCTCCCACACACTGGGCAGATTTCCGTGGCTTAATTGAACTGCTTGGCGCTGGATTGATGAGGAAAAGGAGGAGCATAGATTCTGTTTCACTCCTACTCGTGGGTAATTAAAGAAACAATAAAATGTGAAAGGAAGACATTTTTGGACGCAAAACATTAGAAAGAAACTAATGATTAATTTTGTATTTATTGTTTCTGTGTTTCAAAAGCCTAATTTAAGGCTGGTCAATCAGCCACTAAAAGAACAAATATTTAAGTTTAAGGAAAAAAACTTCCTGTAATGGCCACCAGTCCTAAAGTGAGTGTGTCTCAGAGAAAATGACCAAATTTATGTAGTAGGCTGTCTAGAGCCTGTTAAATGGTGTTTGTTTCCATATCTGATTTCAATATTAATCCCTATTAATGCTCTTCAGATTTCTGCTACGTATGCTTTTTGTTTAATCCCATTATTGCTTGCTAAAATTTGTTGCACATTTAATATCACAGTTAATTACTGATGCACCTGGTGACACAGCTAACAGTGACACTCCAAATATGGTCATATCCTATCTCAGCATTTCAGCCCGTCTCTAGGTAGACATTAACTGTGCTGCTCTTTATTCCATCCCCATCTTGGTGGCTGAATTCAGTGTTTCGTTTTCTTTCTCCAGACAGTCACTACAGATGACTAGGACACCTCCTCCTTCTGTTCCATCACCAGGTGATGCTTTAGATGCTCTCGAGTGCAGAGCTTACGTCTCTCTGTGGTGTCTGCCCGAGCACCACACACACTCAACAGCAATACTATCAGAGTTTTAGCAGCCATTGCTGAGGAATACGGTCTCTGTAGATGAAGTGCTGCTCTCCGAGGTGCTGTTTCCTCTCTTATTTTCACTGCTCATTGTCAGCCAAGCTGTGGGAAATCAGACAGATGTCACACAGTATCAGTAAGGAAGAAAGTTGAGAGACAATTGGGGATTTTCTGACATTTCTCTGCTTGATCTATTATAATTACTAACAATATTTTGAATGTCTAATTGATAGTGCCATCGTATTATTTCTATGGAGAATGTTCAGAAATGTCCCAGTCAGTCCGTCTGTTTCTTTCGGCATTTCTGACTTGAAATCTCACACATTCCACTTCCACTCTGGCCTGAACAAACTCCTGAGAGAAAGATTTTCCTATAAGTGCTCCATTTTCTTCACCAACGACTGTCTGTGACCATCTACTCTTTACTGCTGCTGTGGGAGTGAACAAAAATAGTAAAGTTTATTAAATTTTATTTAAATTACATTAAAAAAGGACCCTCCATCATGTCTCAGAGCTCTCAGTCAAGTCTATCAGGCTCCTGCGAGTGACTCACTGATGTGCTGCCTCGGACTGAGAGCTAGGAAACATGGCAGAAACAGCAGGTGAAACTGACACATACTGGAAGTTGTATAAAGGCGTGGACGTTTGGTTGTAAATGAACTCAAAATCACTATTAAATTCGCTATTGAGTTTTTGCCAGTTTATGTTCCTCGCCAGGGGGCTATTATTGACATCCATCTGTCAATACTGGTGAGCCAGGAGTTCTTTCACAAAAAGAATATGAAAGCACTTCAAAGAGCAGATAGAGCAGCCATTTACAGCATTTATGATATTGATCAAGGCTAAAGTTCAACCCTGACGTGCTGTTTTATCATTGACTCCCTTGATATTGATATCAAAGGAGCTCCAAGTCCGACAGCTTCTGATGAAGACTCAACGCACTTAATTTTTATCATGTCCTATCAAACAGTTTTTTCTGTTTTAATTACACTCCCTTGTGCCCAGGACAGCCTGAATCCTTTACTGAAGTGCTTCACTGAAGCACACAGACTTATGTACTGTGTTCGAAGAAAACCTCGAAAGGAGACTTTGAAGAACTGGAAAGCATTACCCATTTAGTTTCTCCACCCACATCATTCAGCAGCAACTGCTTTCAAAGGTTATCTTACTGCAAAATTCAATATTTAGAACTATTTGTCATCCCTAATAGGCAAATACAGGGCAAGTGCACTCCAGCTGTCCCCTTAATCATGAAACAAGAATCCAAACAAATGGACTTTTAATGCCAGCAAAGATGATGGATCCATGAGGTGTGAGTGCTAACAAGCTATTGACTGAAAATATATAGCAGATAACCTTCTGTGGTCTTTTTACAGCAAAAGAAATGCACATCTACACATTCATAGATGAAAGTGCTATGAAATGTGTTTTTTAACATCTCGAAACTGCTAAATTCTGAAGATGAGCATAGAGTTTGCTCAGACAGGCCACAAAGTAAAGCCTAGCAACAATTCCAGCAAATGAACCAATCTCAGAGCCAGTCCACAGCATCTGAAGGCTAAGCTGATCTTATATAGGGCGCACTATTTAATCTAGGGAGGGCAGGGATCACCAGATATGCCACAATTAACACAATACTTCATTCATGATTCGGTATTAATGTGACTTTTGCAACATTTTGTGATTTGCTGTGTATTGAAATAACATATATTGCAAGTTATCAACTTTTTCTAGTCCAACTTATGCCCTTAAATTTAAACTAATCAATCAGCCAATCAGAAAAAAGTTATCTTACTTGAAAATGAGATTTTTAAGCATACCAACCAAACACCTGCCAGAAATGTTGCATGTTGGCAATTGCATGCAGTCTTTTTCTGATAATACAGCAATTCACTGTGATAAATTGTAGAAAATCAAATACATGTTAATGTCTACATAGTCAGAAATTCAAATTTAAGTAACTTCCCGCTCCATAGGAATAGGAAATCCCAGTATCACATTTGCAAGCTGCTTTGCCACCGCCTCCAACCCAGCTGCTTCTACATTTATCACTTTATACTTTCCATGTATGTGTGGAAGAGCAGGAAAACCCTAGAACAGAGCCATGCTGAAAAATATGGTAAATGGACTGATTCTTATACAGTGCTTTCCTACTCTCCCGGTGTACTCAAAGCGCTGTATACAACATGCCTATATATAAATGACTGCGCATGGAAACATGGTGTTTCGGCAACCCTGATGAAGGCCACAAGCCGAAAGTGTTGGTCTGCAATTAATGTGGTTCCCTTGTGTTTTAAATGTTGCTGGAGTCTTCACCTCACCAGATCATTGTCCCCCTCCACGCAGTCTTGGAAGTAGGTGAGGTTGTTCCTAAAACCTGGGGATCTCTCCACATGGAAACAGTCTTCTGGCCGAACTGTCTTTAATGGGAATTGTAAAAGTATCTCTGTTCTTCTTTGCCTTTACTCTCCACCTAGATCTTCATCCACATGCTCCCTCCTTACCTGGGCATGCTGCGGCCAAAGGTGGAGACCCCCCTGTCTCTGGAGACCGTACCCCGCCGGGAAAAAAAAGTCACTGCAATTAGCATAGCTTCTGACGAATACTTCATCCGGAAACCTGACTCTTCCATTTTATTTCCCAAACCCAACAGGTAAAGCCAGGCTTATACGTGCACATGCTTGCTCTCGTGGTTGTGAGTGTGCCTGGATTTGGTTTAGCCTGCATGTTTGAAGAAAAAGCAAATGAACCCAGAAACAGCATGTGTGAAGTGGAGCAGGTGAACAGTTGTTGATTCAGGCAAAACCCGGACAGATGGATATGAAGAGATTCCATTCATCATTAGTAGGATGAGAAGCAATCGACTGCTCTTGTCTCTGTTATGTCTTATGGGATTCTTGAAGTGAATCACATACTGGTATATAAGTTTAATTCCATTATATATATATATCATTAGATGCGTTTTCCAAATATTACTTTAGAAACAATACTTGTGCAGTAAAATAAGATCAAATACATTAAGAATAAACAAATTTGATTTGATGTCATGTTGAAATGGATTCAAATATATATCACTTTAGTGTCTACACAACCTTGCACTCATAGAAGTTCAGGTTTCCTCCTTAGCGCTTACCACCTCAACTTAGGACAAATTAAAATTCTGTTATATTTTAGGTGCTTTTTTCACTTTGAATTAAATTCAACAGTGTTTAAAAGCACAGAGCCTCTTGAACAGACAAACACCATATTTAAAGATACCAAATGCTACCATAACAATAGCAGCAGCTGCAGCGCAAGAAGTAATTCCTCTCCTCTTCTGTCACCTATACGTGCACACATTTATTACATTGTGCTGCATAATATATTCTCTCAGTGAGGCCAACGAAATCTATCCAATGTTTTTTGGCTCACAATAAGGAAAAAGAAGAAGAAGAAGAAGAAGAAAGAAGATCCCTGTCCATTAGCTATAAGGGCTTTTCTACACTACCTGAGAACATTTATTCAGAATATGAGAACCATCTCCACATTCTCACATATTTAGAGTCATGTGAAAACGAAGGTACACCCCCTTTCAATTCTAAGGTTCTATATATCAGGACATAATTATAAATGGTTCTAGAAAGATTTAAATAAAAGCTCAGATGACAAAAATACTTCATTTTTTTGTGGCAGTTTTCCTGATGAGAGAATTGAAAAGACAACGTATATAACCACATGTGAAACGCCTGTATCATTCCATAATCCAATACAAGGTTTAACTAACTAAAACAAGAATCGGGTCCAAAAACTATTTTCAGGTTTCTCTATTCCACACAGGGTCAGAAGTCTGCATACAGACTCAAATATATACATACACTCACTTAAATTGTTTAATAAACGGAGATGGAGGTTCCACGTTGTCTTTTAACTTAACAAGGCTCGACTAAAATTTGCAGCTGTTCACTTGGACAAGCCGAGCCAGAAAGGTTTTATGGTCCAATGAGACAAACACTGAGCTATTTGGTACAATGACAGGAGGCATGTTTAGAATAAAGGTGAGGATTTAAAGGTAACACTGTACCAGCTGTGAGGCATGGTGGTGGTAGCATCATGCTCTGGGGCTGGTTTGCTGCCAGTGTTACTGGTTGATTCCACATTAAATGCATTAATTAAGGCTCAAGTTCATATAGTAGGTTATGTCTGAAGCCCTGGTTTCCCCAGCCTCCATCTGTCATTGCTCTTAATAAACTTTTATCACATCACATCTGTTCCTTCTCCTCCTGCATCTCCATTTTCATCTACACTGAGAGATCCAGGCAGTTTGTGTGTGTTTGTATTTAAATGCACTTTACTTCATCCACTATACTTTATGTACTTTTGCTATGCCAAAATATTTGACTAAATGCACTAAAATATCTTCTTTGAAGTCTCATATTGTCACATATTGTATCGATGCCCTTTCTACTGAAGCTTAAACTGTCAAATCATCATTTATGGAGCTGTTGCAAAGAAGGAACAGATTGGCTGTTTAAGATCTCCTTCTGTGAGGTCTTTCTGACCTTTGTTTTATTCAGTGACAGATGTCTGAGCGTCAGTAATGACTACTGCCAAGGTCTTATCTTTATTTAAAGTACTCTGAGATGTTACAATATATATATATATAGCTTTATAAACCCAAACACCTCCACTGAAACTCAGTTTGCAGGTTTACGTCAAAAGTTCCACAGAGGGCTGCCGATGATGTTGAGTAAAGAGCTGGATGCAGGCCAGTGTTGCACAATTTGGCAACAAATTGAATTACAGTAACCCCAGTCTTGATCCTTTGTGCATGAAAATTCTTTGACCTTCCTTAAGTAGTTACATAGGGTGGGGACCTGTATGTCTTCCCAATCAGCCATACGACACTGTCAACTAATGTGCATTCCTGCTGCTCTCACAATACACCATGAAGTTTGCTTCACAGTGTAGCTGTCCCTCAATCTCTACTCCTGGGAGAAATTAGATATGTCTAGAGGGAAAGAATCTTTGCTAAAACAATAATGACCCACCCAAATGGACTCTGACACATTAGAGTCACTGTCTAGGTGAATGAACAGTGAGGGGGGAGGGGCTCTGTTAGAGGAATTTGATGAGACAGCAGTATCTCTCTTGGGTCCACACGTACATTCGCGCGCCTCTCTTAATTGGGTTTAGTGCATGTCTTGGCACCAGACGCAGCCAGTTTTAGTTGAATTAGTCTCCTGAATACTCATTTACTTCTCGCTGATGAAGTGCTGCTTTGAGCCGTACAGGAGGGAAAAGGGAGGAGGGGGTTAAGAGGCCACACTGTGTCTCCCCCTCCCTTTTTCCTTTCTCTCTCAACCTGATAGGACTTCATCCTTCTTAGGTCACAGATTCTTCACCTGCCACACTCGCAGGATGAGCAGCGGTGGCAGCTCTGCGTTGCAAACCTCTAATTTCATGCAAAGAATACCAAGCAGCTGTCTCCTCTGTCCTGCCTGAGAGGTTACCACTTTTAACGTTGTGCTACACTGCCCTCTGGTGGATACCTGCCTATCCTGTCAATCTTTTTGTTTTGTTTTGTTTTTTTTTTGCAATGTTTTTTAAACGAGGTGTTTAATATTTGAGGTGTTTCATAAGAAAAGCAGCTGCTCTGCAAAGAAGTGCTGCCTTTGTAGAGGTCATTGAATGTCAGGTGAAAATCCATAAAGTTTTAGGCTGGAACTTAAGCAATGCTACTTCTCAGAAAAGCACTTCAGCTGTGATGTGCTTGCATGCTGTATGACTTCGTAAGTTCATAGAAGTATAGGAGGTCTTAGTGTGTCTTTCTGCTGAAGGCAACAAGGACATAATTAATGTGCCATTGTTGAAGGACATGCTGCATGATTCCGTGCAAGAATTATTACCGAAAAATTATAGAATGAGTTATGTAATGTAAATGATCAACTGTGTGAAGCAAGACTATATCAGTGTTCAACAAGAAGTCAGAATTCCATCCTCGTGATGATAACAAGTTGAATTCATAAGAAACGGTCTGATCTGAACGGAGGTTTGTGAAATAGCCACGAAAAAGTAAAATGTTTTTATGTTCATGACAATGAATTGTTAAGTTATGGGTTTTTTTCATGGTATTGAGCACATATTTGAAAGTAATACATTCCAGGAGCACACATTTTTGGGGGGTAGAAAAAGAAGGAAAGTGTAAGACTTGTTGTGTTGCTAGTGCGAGAGTGTGCTGATTAACTTAGAAACACGGTCTTTCTCTTGCTTTTAAATCCAGACACATGAGAGCGGACTGATGGAAATAATGCCACAATGCCCATTTTAGTACAATTAACATTTTTGATACTAGACTGACACACTTGCTGTGGTTTGACCAGATGTTAAAGCTGGCTAACATTCATAATTATAGTGCTAGTAGTAACAGGGCATTCACACGTGTACGTTACTTCTTGGCTGGATGGCGGGAGCTCTTGATTTTTAGTTGAGTACATTTACTACCAGATTGTCATAGCAACGGTAACTCATCAATGACAAGGCAGGCTTCAGTTAGCAGTTAGCATGATCTAATCTAACTATATATTACAAATTTTGGTCATATTTAACGACTTGTTTGATCATATTGTTATGGTGCTGATGACGAATTATAATAACAGGCTTGTCTGAGGTTATTGGTGAGAGTCATAAAATTTCATGCATTATTTATTCAAAACAATGTTAAATACCCTTTAACAATAAATTACTCACATCATAAATACATGTATTTAAATATGTAAACTACATATGTATTGATTTGTATAAATATAAAATGTTTTGTAATTGTAAACAATTGTAAAAAAGCATTTTGGATATTTTGTTTTAACTAGTCTGAAAGCAGACATGATAATAATAAAATAAAATAGAATAATAATTGCAAAGTTCAATAATAGTGCCTTCGAAGATTGTATTTTTGCGATGTAACTAACTGACATAACACATTTTTTACTTTCTATGTTTTGAAAATAAAGAAATGAAAAATAACTTGACCTCTAAAGTTAGAACTGTCACGTTAATACAGTATTTATAACTGACAGCAGAGTCACACAGGTACACACAACACCTTTCTACTAGCTTCTCCCAATAACTCCTGGCACCCAGTAGCAGCTGACAGTTGGTAACTAAGGGCAACAACTAAACACAGAAACATGCACACACACACACACACAGAGCAGCTTGGTCAGCATGTGAAGGGCAGCGCCTTGTACAAACTCGCAGAGGGGGACCCGGGGAGCTCCTCTGACCTTCTCATTATTCCTCTGTGGTTGACAGTAGAGTGCAAAGGAGACGCGCAGCCCAGCTCATAAAAGCTGAGCTATTTTACAGCTTTTAATTAGCGTGGGCTGACACCTGCTCACACATCGCTACATTCTGCACGCTCGTGTGCATTTGTTGTCTTTGGGTGTTGACACTCTGTCTTTTTCCTGAATCCGTCCAGACATATATACAGTATTTACCATCACATATTTTGTTTATTATTGATACTTTTCTGTAACATTATTATAATTGTGCTGTCATGAAGGTACCAGCCGGATGGCATATGCACAGACCTGAGGAAGTTCATTGATGGCCCCAGTAGCTACCTTGCACTACCTGATGAGCTCAAGTCAGCCATAGAGGCCATCACATACATAGCCGAGGCTCTGCAGGCTGAAAAAGACTATGAAGCGGTAAGTTTGAATGTTTGAGCACGTTTAACCTTCTAAGATCCACAAGGTCACATCTGGAGTGAAGGGCAGGGTTTGATCATTTCGAGCATTCAACAGATAAAGCTTAATCACTGAATATCTAAGTTGTCTTTAGTGATGACCCCTAACCCTAAGCCCTAAACATAAACCAAGCAAAAGTGTTTTTGTAATGCATATCAGTTAGAATGACAGTTTTCTTTGTCCCCTAATTGTCAAGATTTGAGATGACATTTTTGAGGAGAACAAACATATTATCACAGGGTTAGGGTTGGAGCTATCATTTACTTAAACCTTAGAGCATTAATATGTTTATTGTCCTTCCATTTTTTCTTCCTCTCTACTGTTTATCTGAACAACATGGCTTTATTTCTGACGTTTGTACTGTTGTCTTTTTGTCTCTTGTGTCTGTCTGTCTTTTGCCATTTTCCCACTGTTTTCCTTTCCTTATATTGATTTTCTTTCTATCGTACCCGTTCTTTCTCTTTTTAATCTCCTGTCTTTCGCTGGCCTCTTTTAGCTGAAAGAAGATTGGCAATATGTGGCAATGGTGGTGGACCGGATGTTCCTGTGGATTTTCGTCGTTTTCACCACTGTGGGCACGCTGGCCATCTTCGCTGATGCTAGCTTCAACCATACCCCTACGGACCCCTTCAAGCCCTTCTGAAGCACAGGGGTGTCTGATTTTCATGAGCCATGTTGCTGGAAGTTATGAATCCCTTGATGTACATGTAGAGGAAGACAATTGTAACTGTTAAAATAAGTACAGTTTCCAATGCATTGGCTCATCACAAAACACACAATGCATATGTCCCAGTCTTTTTAAATTATAGCTGTACTAGTACTTAAAGGGCCAGTAACTGACAAACCATATGGATTTTATGGTGTTCTTTTTAGATTTGTCGAATTTTAAACTTTTACTGTGTTTGTTGCATTTGGGAGAAAAGCTTTCAAAACCCCAAATTCATATAATGTACCTTGCAAAACTACGATTAGGGTTATAAGTTAGGATTAAATAAGGTCTATGGTCTAGATAACCCCAACCCTAGCTCCATTCAATATGCAATTTTTGTGTTTATATAATTGCTTTCCAAGTTTTCTCATTATAGAAACAAAGACAATAATCGGACACACAGAATTCAAAAACAGCTGAAAAAAAACCCCAAACAGTTTTGGCTTCAACCAAAATAAATGTCTAGGTTTCCACTGTAAGGACTTGGATACCAGAAAGTTAACAGGGTTACACTCTGTTGCAGACATGGACACACCCATCATCCTATGGTGAAATTTAGTTAATTTGGGCTTTAGCAGACTCAAAGACGCGACTATAAAGGGGCGATAATTTTCATCGATGCTGACTCTACCTGACTCAACCAGAATTTGTAAAAGAAAACAAAGAAAATAACAATTCTGATGTACATCACATGGAAAACTACTTACATTTCACAAGTCTCCAAACTATTTAGTCAGGGTAGGTTTACCTCAGAAGATTAATCTAGCCCAAACCCTTCTCCTAATTCCAGATGTGTTGCCAGTGACAGTTTGTATGTTAAAAATTTAAAATAATTAAAATAACAAAAAATAATAAATGCATTGATGAAATTGCATGAAATGTAACTACTAAACCAATGTTAGCGTACCTTACATGCGTATAAATGCTACAATATAAACTACCAGCGTGGGATTTTTTTATTTTGTTATTAGCTGTAGTAGGGTTTGAAGTGTGGCTCCAGGACTGGGTGTTCATATGTGGTGTTAACACATAAACACCAAGACAAACCAGGCCCTATAATGAGCGTGCTGCAAGCCTATATCAGAATGTGCTGGAGAGTGGCACATGCTTTGCGGTATATTTCTGCAGACACAGTAATCCTCTGCATTTCAGGCATTGGTGTATGTAACGGAGCAGCACACCAACCCCATTCATCTGCTGCACCAACAGCCAATGGAATTCCCAATAATAGAGAAGACTCGTGCCTCTCGGTGCCTCGTTTTGTCTGGACACACGCATGCTGCATGTCCCTTCTACCACACCTGTCCTCTTGGTCTTGTGCTTTCATTTTGCTTTTGTCTTTTAAATAGAGATCTGAGGGGAGAATATCAAAGGCTCCATCTGTTCTCAGAATGCTATCACCTGCCCACCCTGCTATTAATATCCCCACATGTTGGCACTGGTCACCGGACACTACTGCATGGGCTTCCCTGTTATTTCTCTATGTAAATACACTCTCTCACTGAGATCTATTAGCGCAAGTATTTGGGGGCTGAAATTCTGCCAGTCCACGGCAGCCCACCTTGGCGACAGCACTGATAGCCCCTCAGTATTATAGACCACCATATGTGACGTTATCGCTACACTAGTGGTTGAATTGCACTTGTTCCCTTTCCCGTCTAACACATAACCTTCTATGAAAGAGTAGCTTTGAGAAGCCAGGCTGCACAAAAACAAACACAGAGGTCATTCTGAATGATGTATTCACGCTGAGAATGGCAGCTCAGAGGAGGTCAAGTCAGAGGCATTTTCCCCTCACTTAAGTCTCAATCTGCTGTTGATTTATAGTTTTATGTTTTCACACTGGAAAGGCTCACCAGCATGAGGGAGAGAGGATGGAATGACCCAACCGAGAGGAGAGAAATTTAAAGGCAGAGACAGAGAGTAGGGGATGGAGGAAAGATGAACTTTATGAGGCTTGAAATATAGACATCAGCTTCGTAAAAAGCAACACGAAGGATCAGAGATAGAGCAGAATCCGGAGTTCACTCGGGGGCCTTTGCTTCATCGATCATTACGCTTGTAGTCCTCGCAGCCCTCTATGGCAAAAAACATCCATCTCCATTTTTATACTTTCATCCACATCTTTTCTTGCCTCGAGCTCACATCAAACTCAGAATCAGCAATGCTGAGGTGCTTTTTACTAAGACCTCTCCATCAGTATTGGCATCACCTCCCTGCTCCTGCCAAGAAGTTTGGTAATTCTAGATTTCATCACGCCACAGTATCTGTGAAGCAGAGCCTTTCATTTTCAGCTCCTTAAATCACAGTGTGACTAAAGCCATAGTTTTTATAGGAATTTGTACCTAAAGAACAGACAAACCCCATCACTTGTGCTGTTTAGAAAGATTCTCAAAACAAGTTTATTTCATAATTTAATCAATTTAGGTTTCTTTTACCAGAACATCAACATTGTTTTAAATAGTAAAAAAAAAAATTATTTCACTATTTCTATGAACATAAATATAAATAAACATAACATTAACTGATGGAGGTCACAAAGTCAAACCCAGTCTACAATCCCTGCAGATCAGGTGATACTGTTCTACGCACCCAACTTTGCAAATCTCATATATTGTAGGGATTAAACTTTAGCCTGTCTATGGTTGCTGTGACACTGCAAGTTGCTTTGCAGCCCCCCTCCACTCCTGCTCTTCCTCTTCATGTTGTAGCTGACTTAATCAGTGTCAAATCTGTGAATGCCTGCTTTTGTCTGTATCTCTGTGCCACTTCCTTCCTTCTGTGTGGAGATGACCTTTCTAAATGTTGATGGGTTTGTACGCCATGTCACGCAAAAAAACGTTGACGCACATGGAAATAACAATCGTCTTTGACAGGCACGGCCTTGAAATATTGTTTTGGTTTAAAATCATTTTTTTATTTTTAAATTGCATAATTGATTTTGCTACTTTTGATTTGTAGAAAAATCAGACAATAAATTCAGTGTTTGTGGTGGTTCGTCGCTGTCTCTCTCTTTATATTCAGGATTACTCAAAAAATGGTGGATCTGCGTAAAAGATGGGCTTGGAAGGATTCTATATCAATGCAAGGACACAGAGACAATATTAAGCTGAAATTAAAAACACTGACCTTCTGGATCCTGGGGCTCAGTTCCTGCATGATATGGATGAAGTTTTGAGTCTTGGTGGATATAAACTGCTCTTATTGGTGTCACACCACTAGGGGGCAGCAGCTGGGAAGTCAAAATTCCACACATAGTGCCTTTAAATCACTGCATTTTCCCCCCAGGATACTTTTGCACACCTGTTTAAAGGACATAAAATAAAACTTTGATGACAAGCTATTCCTGTAAAACTAATGAGCTTAATAATTTTTTATTGTCAACCTTTTCAGAAAACTGCTTAATATTTGAAAACCAATTTAACTCAGGGATATAACAGCCAGATGATGCCACACACAGCACAGTGCAATGGGTATGACTGCAACAACCCCTAAGGAGGGAGGCTGAAAATGAATATTTAAAGCCTTGAAGGAGGTAGAGAAGATTTCATTTACCAGGGAAGATGAATAGCTGAAGGGATCAAGCAGGCATTAAAAGTTAAGAGAGCCAGAGAAGCCACCTACAGCATGACCCACGTCAGCTTTACAGCACCCCCAATCATCCTTCGCCTACCGACAACCCCCCAATCAACTTCCCAAAAATATCTCCATTGTCATAACCCACAGCACATAGCCATACCACCCCCTCCACTTCCTCTTACTCCCACACACAATCCCCGCAGTGCTAACCTCAGATTGGTGAGCACCAACAGGTGCCTGCCCCTCAGAGTTCCTAGTACAAGCGCACCCCCCCAGCACATCCATCCAATCAGGTCATGGTTTCACCCAGAGAGTCATGGCCACAAAAGAGACGAAAGGACAGGAGACAGGGTCGTTAGCTGAAGAGCGTGTGCCGTTCGGGGTGTTAACTAGCTGTAACCCAGCTGGAGCAGCGCACTGATTTTCCTGAGCTTTTAGGGGGTGACCATTCATCTTGTATCCAGGTGAAGGTGGGACGTGACTGGCTGTGGCCGCTAGAAGAGCCTTTGGTTGGCTAACAAAGAGTCCAGAAGATGATATGATTGCCATTATTGGACAAATGAAGATGTACCTGAGCACTAGCATGAGGATGAATACCTTTCTCTTCGTGTGTGGCTGCCTTTGCCTTACTTTCACTGGTAAGGACGTATTTAGGAATGCCAGTGTGTGACACTAGTTTTCATGGTTTGAGGATGTTTAAAAATAGATTTTAAAATGAATCATGCTAAGCTGATTAAATGTCGCATAATCTGGCCACATAAATCTGGCTAATGAGCATTCCTGGAACTAATAGCAGCATGTTTACTAATAAGTATTTTCAGAAGAGAGACATGATGTTTCTCTTCCATCTAAATCAAAACCTACATAGTGAAATGTTCATTATACTAAAAAAAAACAAAGGAACAACATAAAAAAATGGAAAACTGCCGTTAACTTTTAACTTCAACTAAAAGCAAACAACCATGGTTGCTGGTGACCTGCGGTGCAGTGTTCCTATTCGTCTATGTGTCCTAACTGCTAACTATTTCCTGGTGGGATCGAAGGGAATCTGTTTTCATGTGGAGGAATCGAGGCATAATTTGAATCAGACAGCTCCAGTCAAATCAGATAACACACAAGTATCTCACATCCACAACTTCACCCTGTCACTCCAGTTAAATTGCTATTGATTCCATCTCCTGTTTTTTTTCTTGATGTTCTTTTTGTAATTCCCCCATTTTTTGAGTGGGAAAGGCTAGGCATTAAAATCATGATTAAAATTGATTTAACCAGGTTCAGCTCAAGGTCAGTTTCATTTATATAGTGCCAATTCACAGCAGCAGTTCCCTCAAGGCGCTTCCTATAGTAAGGTAAAGACCCTACAATAACCTTGACCTCCTGACACCATAATGTGAGTGAAAAGCAAAAGAAATAAATGAATGACAAAAAAAAAGCTGCACAGGTGAATTCCACCATGATTGTGGCCATTTCTTGACCTTTTGTCATACAGCCAGTGAGAATTTACAGGTATGTTTCACCAGCGATAAAACTGCAGTCCCAGGGGAACAAAGCCTGTATTTTATGTCCTTCCACAGATGTTGTCCACTTGAAAACAAGAGTGGCCTCCTTCTTCTCCTCTGGAACATATAATGAATCACATTAACACATCATTGTTCGTTAATCAGAATCTAATTTTGTCCCCGATGGAGCTGGTATCTCAGCCATCCCTTTGATCCTATTCCCTTACTACATATCAATTACATTAGCTCAGTCACCTTTGCTACCCATCGTACACCACCAGCACCTGCCCTGCCTCTCCTGCGTGTCCCGTCTGTCCTCTGTCTTTGCCACATGCTGTTTAATCGCATATTTGGAAAGAAAGAGTCCCTAATGCTGAGCTTTCTGTGATACATGACTTCTAAGACATTGTCTTTTTAAAATATTATAACTTGACAGAGATTAAATGACAATAATAATAATAATAATAATGTCTAAGTACAATTCTACTGATGCAGTTAATTTACAGTACTGCACAAATGTTTTGAGCCGCCCCTAATTTCTTTATATTTTTGCTTTCAAGAACCAAACCTATGAAAACTTTATTTTTTGCATATCTTCTCCTTTCTAGTGGAAAGTTTAACATGGTTTTATCTGTGTTTCTTTTGGTTTGGTTTGTTTTTTCCCTCAGAACAATTCTTTTGGCATTTAAGAAACTGATGTTGATTAATATTTCTTCATGTTTATCATAATTGTCTCCTCATGGACACAAGCTAAGAACAAAACAGCTTTGGGTTGAGCGAAATCTCTTTTATGTGTGTTAATCTGACACATGCATTCATGTCTTGGTTTGAGCTCCAGCATAGGCTGATTTCCAGTTTT